ATATTGTGTGAGATCTCTACCTCACCTGAATATCCTATTAAATTTTGTCTTACATTGTAAGAGCCTGCAAGTTGGATGAATCATCCAAACTTGGGATGGGAGAATTTTACACAACAGCGATACCAACCTTCACCACAAATTCCTACACCTTCCAAGAGTGAGCCTTCCTTAAAAGAGTTAATGAGGGAAATGGCAGTTAACAATCTGAATTTTCAGCAGAGAACAGAAGCATTCATTCAAAACTTGAAAAATCAAATTGGACAATTTGCTTCCGCTTTGAATCATTTGTGATCTTAAGGTTCTGATAATCTATCTACACAACTAGTTGTTAATCCAGAGAATGTTACCTTGAGATCAGGAGAGACCATACAAGATTCTCAAGAGCAACAATCAATAAATGAAGATCTTAATGCTATTGCTCCAGCAAGTGATTGCAGTCCATCAAGTGTAGAATCTACTTTTACTCCTCATGCCACTTTTACCAATGGAGCATAAAATTTTGAACAACCTGTTTCTCTTCCATTTCATTCAGTTTTACATGATAATTTGTTGAATGATTTAGTTGATGATACTTGGACTGAGTTTTCTGAATTTTTAGATTGTATTAATTATCCTAACTTAACCAATTATCCTTATTCTTATACTTGTAATGCATGTGCTAATTCTACAAAATGTAGCTTTTATGCTGAGATTGATACATATGTGTATGATGATTTTGATGTAGCTATTGCAGATGCTGAGAAAGTACATCATGATGCAACCTTTGCAGGTTCTAAGGAAATGAATCACGATGCATTTGTTGAAGTGCAAGCTGCACATCTAGCTACAATTTTTACATTGCCTCTTGCATCAGAATTGAAGCCTTTGCTTGAGCTCTTGAAGTATGACTATTACATCATTGTATATCCAAGAGAGCAGTAACCTAAGTATAGCAGCAGGACACAATATTCTGCATATCAAGGTAATGTAAAGCATGAAGAGAAGCTCATTGAGCTTATCAAGCAGTTGAAAATCCCTCTGCAATTATTTCTTCCACGTTCCCAATTAAATGAAGTACTGCAGATTTTTGAGAAAACAGAGGAATATCTAAGGATAGGGCTGAAACTGTTACAATCAAAAGTATCTTTGAGAACTAAAGATCATAAGGCGTTAAGCTAGTAACATTAAAAGAGCGTTGTGTGAGAGACAACTCACAATTTTCTTAAGAGTATTTTATTGTGTTTCCTGCATTTAGCATTATTCCTTCATTTGAGTTTTGAATATCTCATGAATTCTACTTCATAAACATTTTGGTTTGCATTTACTTTGATGTTTGACATATATTTTTGCATAATTCTGAATTTTTGCAGATGGAGATTGAAAATTTTGGATCCAATTTCTACCTAAGTTTTGGAAAAGATCAAGTGCAGTAGGGAAATGACCACTTTCAGATTATAAGGTAGTCACTTTGGTGAGAAAAAAAGAAATTTATCATGAAGGTAATCACTTTCCCAAGCAAAAGTAGTTACTCTCAGCCCAATATCATGGTAAACACTTCTAGGTCTGCTCTAAGGACTAAAAGAAGCAGGACTGTTAAGCACCTTCCTCCATTCACCACTACTGCTACTGCACCACCACCTCAAGAGGCTGGAGAGGAAGATAGCTCCAACTCCTCAGAAGAGGAAGAAGAAAAAGAGGATGTAGATAATAACTCTTACTCCTCCAGCTCAAATGAAGACCTTATTTAGTTTTTAGTTTCTTTTCTATCATCTACCTTTTTACTTACATTTTATTCATTTTCCCTGAAAATATAATCTTTTACTTCCCTGTAATTATTGCACTTTAGCATTTTTCTTTTCTTCCTTCACTTTTACTTTAATGCTTCTCTCTTGGACAATTATTGATGCTTTCATGCTTTTATACATACATATCCGTTTAATTTCCATACTTCTCTTTCTTGTGATAAATCTATTTTGCGTTTTTGTATAGAGAATGCCCTCAGTCCCATCAAGAGGAGCATGAATTTGATCTCTGAATTGTTAATCCATCTTCCATGAAAGGGAAGTGATATCTTTGCCTCTGTTTCACATGTTCTTACTCTAATTTTCCTACACCATAACATATAAAATACAAAAAAAATATTTTTATTATTTTTTGTTCAGTTTTGTAATTTTGATCTTACATTCTTATTGCACTTTCCATTTAATTCATAAACACACTCTGTTTTGTACATAATTCTCTTTCCTACCATACTGAACATATTTTCTTCTAAGGTGAACTGTACTCACATATTGTTAAGTAATTATCACCTTGGTAGAGAATTGTGCCTTAAATTTCTTTTCTATGTGCACTTTACATGTTTTCTACATTCATCCTCTAGAACTTGCCCTGTTTCTCATTAAATATGCATTGTGCAATTTTCTATCTAGATGATTGAGGCCTTCTTTGCACACACTCACCCACCCTAGAACACCGTTGCACCTAATTTTTCTTATTTCACATTTCTTTCTTTTGTCAAACTTAGTCTGCAAAAATAATTTTCTTACCTTAAGAGAGGTATTTCTTTTGAGTTGCATCATGCAAGAAACTAAGTTTGGGGTGCTAATCATAACTGTAGTTGCTTGAGGACAAGCAAAATCTTAAGATTAGGGTGGTGGACATTATACATGTTAATAATACATGTCAAAAATTTTTTTGCTAGAATTTGAAGAAGAGAATCATTACCAAAGTCCATGAAATTATAAAAAAATAATAATGATGAATGAATGAAAGAAAGAGAAGAAAAAATACAACAAGGGCCATGAGTTGAAAAGGATTCCCACGTAAGGCAAAATAATGAAAAACATGGTGAAAGAATGCTTGAACCTCTTAATTTGCATCATTTAATGCATTTAATTCTAGTTGTTGTGTTCATTCACTCAAAAGAACTCTCTTCTCTTGAAAACTCACTTGAGCTTTTGAACCTCCTTAATCAAAATTGAACCTAACTTATTTGTGACCAATAAAGCTCTCTTGATAGGTGATTCATTGTATCAAAGCAAAGAAGATTAAGAATATGGCAAACATATGGTAGAGTGAAGCAAAATGCATGAATTGAGGGAAACACTTAGCCTGAAACATTAATGAGTGAAGAGTGAAATACTATCCTCTGAGCTAGATAATTTCTTTGCATTGTGTGGATTGCATGAAACCTTACTAGATTTTTGTTTTAGTCTAGTGAGACTTTACATGAAAATAATTGATGTGAGTGTGATTTTCTTGTTGAATGAATCCATGATTTTGAAAATATTGGAAGTGCTAATTAGAGTCTAAGATTGGGATGAAAATTTTTGAAAATAAAAATTTGGATAAATCAAACCCTTTACATTCAATTTTCTTAAGTTTTGATTTGTTTAAAAACAAGCAAAAGTTTAAGTTTGGGATTGTGATGAATCCACATGTTATAGATATTTTGTTTGTCTTTTTATACAATAGTAGTTACTACAATGAAGAAGGAAAATTCTGGAAGCTGTGCGTGTCTACTATCATAAACAATAGTAACTACTATACTACACGATAGTAGCTACTATGAAAGACGTTAAGTTTACTATAAATAGATTTTTACTATTTAAGGTTAGAGACTTTTTGCAGAACCTTTTACTTTAAATATTTTAGAGTTTTAGGATACTTTTAGAGAGCCTAGGTCAACCTTGGGTGGCAAGGCAAGGGTTCAACTTAGGGTTTGATTTCTATTTCTTCTTACTTTGCTTTGATTTTTATTTTGATGTCATTAATTTTTCCTTGATTCTGATCTTATAATGGTAAAACTCATCCTCATGGAGGGCTAATTTTCTTGTATTTTCTAGTAAGTTTATATGGATTCTTGAATTCTTGGGTTTTCAATATTAATACAAATTCTTTCTTCATGAATTTCTTTTCTCCCAATCTCTTGAACTAAATTAATAGTTGAATGAGAGGGTATTACTTAATTAACCTTAATTCATTTTAATGAGGTTCTGAACTTGGTTTGCTTAATTCTGAGTTTAATCCTTAAGTTGCTTAATCTTGAGGATGAGATATTAGAACCTATTGATTTGCTTAATTTCATATGAAAATTTAAAGTTAATTTTCACTTGTTAAATTGACATAATTTAGGTAAAAGTGTAGAATCTTAAAAGAAATTGGGATAGAATCTATATGGACAAACTAAGAGTTATTATATTCTATTAATTGAACTTTGCAATTTAATTTCCTGCTTAAGTAAATTGAACTTGAAATCACAAAACCCTCCATTTTTACTTGTTTTCTAAATACATTGCATACCAAATGTTTGATATTTGATCATTCACCCAACAATTCACAAGAGGACAACTTAGGTTATCACCCTAGTATTACATTAATTTGTGTTTATATTTTGATGGAAATTAACGATAAATATTTCGTATCATTGATCAGTTTTTTAAAAAGTCAAAATACTTTGCTTTGTAAATTAATAATTTAAAAAAAATGCGACTTTTTAACAGACCCACTAAATCACAAGTATTATGCTGAAGAGTATATTACTAACATTTCTCTTCTTTGTTTTTTTTTTTTTTCTAGCTTTAATTTCAACATTCTTTAATATAATAGTGTTGTTGATATCATTTTCTATTTTCGTATGCATGAACGTTAGAATTGAACCCAAGACCACATACTTAAGGTATTCAAACTCCTTCCACTGAAATCAGCACATGTTGCAGTACAGAAAAAATAAAATAACCATCTAGAAACAAAGTGAGGAAAAAGAAAATTGATAAAACAGGATTGAGAAGCAGGACAATTAGCTTGTGTCATAGGGCAACAATGCAGTAAGCATCAAATTCTTAGGACCTACAAAAATGGTTGAGAACCACTAACCCTTGTGCAGAGGACAAGATATTACAACCAAATAATAAAAGGCCAAGCATTTGATAAACCTGAGATCCTATGGTTTTAAAGATCTCACAAATCAGTAACTACAACAACAGATAGGGGGCACAAGAGACAAATAAAAAGAATTAAGATTACAAGGCCAAAGGGATCATCAACTTTACAAGCAATAACATAAATGCAGACATCAAAATGGGCAACAGATTCATCAAGGAGCAAGCAGCAGAAGTGGCAGAAGTAGCAGAAGCAATGCCACTAACAGGGCCATTTGCAGGTGAGAATCCAGGAAATGACCCTGTTGCAGGCACAACCGAAGATTTGGATGCTGTTAGATCTGATTGGGATGATGGGGATGGTGATGGGGCTAAGGCATATACCGATTTCCTTGCAACAGATGTAGGTGGGTCTATAAGTAGAGGGAATTGCTGTGGTCCTGCAGCATCATTTCAAATATATCAAGAAAACATGTCATAAATTAGGACTTTAAATCTCATATTAGTAAACATGTGATCATTTTATTTGTTTGAGGGGGGACATCAGGAAATGAAAATATGACCTTCCCACCCACCCACCCAATCACTCCCAAGAGATGCTTCCTGCTTCAGGATGTGTTTAGATACAAAGTTTAATTAAGCGATTATTTAGTAAGTTCTTTTTACATGATAGCTTTTGTCATAAATTTAACTATGAAACTTATTGCTACAAGTTGAAAACAACTTATTTTGAAAGCTATACTAAAAAGCTTAATTAAAATATGTTAAAAAGAGTTTACAGGAGTCGTAAGTTATTTCCATAAGTTTTCCATGAGCTTTTCCAAACGAGACAATAATCTGCATTATAAAGCTATATGATAGTGATACCGAATCTAACCCTCCCTTCAGTTTTTGCATACTATAAACTGTCATGAGATAGCATATATAAAAAATCATGAATACTGAATGTAGTTCATTCTAGCTGTAATATCTCAAAATTCCAAGCATTCAACCCAACATCCATTCAGAATTAAGGCATTTTGCAAATGGTGGAATCAAATACAGGGACTGAGTTTATCCATCTAATGTTATCTAACTTGTCAGCAAATAGAACACCAAAAAGGAAAAGAAACAAAAAGTAAACTAATTTGAAGTTTATTATAATGGAATACAATGACAAGAAAGTGAACAATGCCATTTCAAAATGCATTTGCAGTATAAATAAATGTAGACAGATGGTTGATAAACTCTTACCTGGACATCGAGGCTGAAGAGATGGTGACAAACTGCAGTGTAGCAAGAAAAATTGAATAAGCTTAAATTTAACCAGAAAAATATGGAAGTATCTATATCACATAAGCAGGTATACGGCCAAATAGGATAAACATACGTAGTTATTATGGTGCCATTAACGAAACCATCATAATTGCAAGCGGTAACACTGCAACCAGAACTACTCGGTTGTATAGTAACATTCCCAAGCATAAGATTGCTGCTTTTACATTGCATGCTTGAGCAAGAGACAGCTAGAGAAGCTGGCATGCAGTATAAACTGCAGGTAGAGTGAGAAACACATATGAACAAGTTACTAATAGATCATTCTCCAAACAAGAGAATCAAATTTTTCTCCAAGATGGGAGAAAGAATAAATTGCAACAGGAGAAAGTTGCTTAGTTAGTACTTTAAATTTCGTGGTCCACAACTACACTGCACACAGTGACTTGCTGTAATTGCATAGCTTCCATTAGGGACAAGCAAACCAAAATCAGAGACATATTTTGGAAAATTTGATGCACAAGCTGTAACAAGAGAACATGCCTAATTATTGATTATGCAGCAGAATTTATATTAAAGGTAGTACAAACAAAACCATCACCCCAAACTCAGTGAAGAAATCATAGACTTTGCACAAAAATTAAAAATCATCACCAATTTAAAAGCTTGACACACCAAAACTACAAACTAAAGCCTGAACAAGAATATCCAGAAAGGCTATATAAGGGGTCTAATAATCCTAAGATAAAAAGGAAAGGTTACGGTAAATTTTTCATCTTATTATAAGAACATGATTTTTATTTTCATTGTTAGAAATACAAATCTTTAATAATATAAAAAGTAAATACAAAATCATATTTTTATAACTACTTACCAAAACATAAATTAAAAAAATATATATGTTTTCTCAATCCAAACATGTCCTTATTTGTCCTAGGAAGTGAAACCTTTGCCTTGAAGTAGAAATAGAACCTGAAATTACCAGGTATTGGAACAGCGAGAATATCACCATCAGAGATAGCTGTAGTCCACATGGCATTAACATTCATCAAATCAGTAAGAGTGGTGGAATATCTATCTGCAATTGCAGCCAAAGTATCAATTGACTGAACCACATAGGAGAGATAAATTGCAGGCAAAGAGTTATCAGTCCCATTGAAGCAAGTGCAAGGAAGAGGCACCAAAAGGCTCTGACCGACATCAAGAACTGAAGGATCAGCTATGGAATTAGCTTCCATAAGCTGATCAGGAGAAACTAGACCCCCATATATTGAATCTGCAATGGAAGAGACAGTATCAGAAGGGTGAATCCTATAATGGGTGGACACTGATTTTCTGATCCCATCAACACAGGAACATGTGATGGGGACCTTAAGGAATAGCTGTGAAGGGAGAATGTGTTGCTCTACATCAGGGTAAGAGATGTCAATGGCATTGGCAGTTAGAAGAGCAGTGGAATCTATTTGGAAGAGTGATGCAACTTCAGAGACTTTGAGGTCAGTGTAAAGGGTGTAGCCAAGAAGAGCATTGCACGAGTCAATGTTGGAGCATGGCTCAATGGTGGATTTGCAACTCATGGGAGCTGCATTGAGTAGAACATGAAAGAGTAACAACAAGAGGAGAGTGATATGTAAAATGGGGTTTTGATATGGCATTTTGAGGCAATGGCTTTTGCTACACCACTCCTTGTGAATGAAAAACTGAAAAAGAATGGTTTTTTAGAGTGTTGACACCAAGAAAAGCCTCAAGCAAACATGTTTTCTAAGAACTTGGTAGGTAGAGTGTTGAATGTTTCTTGGTAAATTAAGATACTTTCTACTTGAGCAATGAAGTTTCTTTGGACCAAATAAAGGAATTGATTTACCCAACAATCAACATGGTAAAATGTGGTCTTCCTGTTCAAAAGATGTTGGACCCAAGAAGAAGATGCAAGTTACAGTAGTGAACTTTTTTCTTTCTAATGTTTTTTTTTTTTAAGTAAAGTTCTCTCTATAAGGGTGGAGATTCTTTAAGTTTATATTTTCTTTCCCTCCCAAGAAAGAACCAGAAGGCTGAGAACAAGTAATAGGAGAAGAGGAGAGTGTTGTTAGTGAAAGGGAAAGGAGTTGGGAAGTTCACAAAAACAAATAGTTTCAAAAGCCATGCCAAAGAAAACATCAAGATGGGCTTTTTGCCCAGCTGATTACCAAATAAAAGAAAACATTAAGAGGATAAAAAATAAAATAAAATAAATTAAAAAGTAATAGTTTTTAAATGGATTGAGATGAGAGAGAAAAATATATAAAATATTTATTTGTTTGGATAAAATAAAAATAATAAATAAAAAACAACATGAAGCAATGCTTCACTTCCTTCCATTTTGAAAGGTTTTATTTTTCTAAGGACTCATTCTTAAAAAAAAAAATTCCCTTTTTCCCTAGATTTCAATATCTAATTTTGTAGTAAGAAAATCACTAACTTTAGATAAAATTAATCAAATAAATTTGAATTCAGTGACCTAGAATCACTCAAAGTCATTTATTTATTTTACCACAAAATTTTACAATTCAAATCCTTCTTTCGATTAAACTTATAGCTGTTTTTTGTTTTTCTGTATTTCTTTTCTTTCTTGGTTTCTCTTCTTCAATCCAAACACACCATTAGTATCTTTGGAATATGAAAGGAAAAAAATATACGAAAAAAATTAGTAAAAAAAATCATTTTTTTTATTTAGATACTTTGAAAGTTAGAAAAAAAATAAAAGAATATTTTTTACAAATCTCAAAAAAAATAAAATTCATCTATCACATGTCATGAAAATTGAGAAAAAAAAAGGGGAAGTTTATGGTAATAATTTTAATTTTATTTTTTCTTTATTTATTTTTCTAAATAACATATAATTTAAAATATCAAAAAATTAAAATAATGTTTTAAAATTATTATAATAAAAATATATATATTTTTATAATTATTATAATAATCTTCTAATATAAAATACTTATTTTTCTACTCTTTTTTTTAAAATCTAAATAATAAAATATTATTATTATTTCTTTGTATCTTATTTTTATTCATTCAAAGAACTTTTCTTTGTTACTGTCTTTCTCACATTTTAATTTTTCAAGTTTTTTTCCTTTCTATATAAGAATAGACCAAAACTTTGTCTATGACCCCATAGCTAGTTCTAAATCCGAGTAAAGGAGGAGGATTGTGTTAAGCCTTTCTAAAACTTATTGAAACCTTTCATATGGATTACAATGACAATATTAGGTTGGGTAGGTCGTTAACTATAAGTAACATGTTGTATTGCTCAATTCAAAGAACTTTTTTTTTATTGTCTTTCTCACATTTTAATTTTTCAAGTTTTTTTCCTTTCTATATAAGAATAAACCAAAACTTTGTCTGTGACCCCATAGCTAGTTCTAAATCCGAGAAAAGGAGGAGGATTGTGTTGAGCCTTTCTAAAACTTATTGAAACCTTTCATATGGATTACAATGACAATATTAGGTTGGGTAGGTCGTTAACTATAAGTAACACATTGTATGGCTCAATATGTCAAATGAGTTAGAGTCATTGCATTGGCACCTAAACGTAAGTTCTCAAATTTGGTTAGATGAATGGGAGTAAAAAAGTTAGTCTAGAAACAGGAATTTTGGTTAGCTCATGGAATATTGATACTTTAACAGCAACAACAACAAAAAGTCATTAGAAATGGTGGACACTATAGTTAGTAAACAGATCAACATCATGTGCCTTTTAAGAAACAAAATAAGTTAAAAATAAGGTTAAGGAGCTCAATACTATAGGTTTCAAACTATGGTATGTAGAAAAACTTAAGGAAAAAAAAAAACAAAGATAGCATATGTTCTTAAAGTTACTGGTTGTACAAGACATTATTGATATGATCGATACTTATATTCTACAAGTTGGTTTGAAAGCCCTTTTGAAAACAAAGTTTTGGGAGGATTTAGAGGGGTTGATCCAATACATTTCACAAATTAAAAAAATCTTCATAGGTGAAGATTTTAATGAATAGGTTGGTTGTGAGGCAAGACAAAGAAAAGAAACATCAATCTACATTATATACCAAAATGATTCCTCATGACTTTAAGACTATGAACACTTGTTTTAAAAAGAGAGAAACATCTTTATCATTTTTAATAGTGGAGTTTCAAGTTTGCAAAACAAGTTTTTCTTGGTGAATATAGACAAAAGAAATTGCAAGAATAGTAAAGTAACTTCAAGAAAGAACCTTACTACACAACATAGGATATCTAGAAAACGTAAGGCAGTGTCGGCATTATTTGGCACAAAGTGGCTAGAAACGTCATGAAAGTTACTAAAAAAAATTGTGGGTGAATTTAGAGGTTTCAGACCCATAACAAGGAACCAAGATGGTGGAATAAAGTGTGCAAGAAAAAAATACAAAGAATAGAGTGCGTTTTAAAATTTTGCATACATATATGCAACTATGCTAAAAGTTGGACAAGGTATCAAAATGCAATAAATGAGACAAGAAAAACAATAATTGAAACACATTTTAAGGCTTTTGAAGAAATCTATCAAGATATTGGAATAAAGTATAATATTTATAAGCATGCCAAAAGTAGAGAAAGAAAATCTAGAGATTCTAATCAAATTAGATGTATTAAGGATGAAGAAGGAAAAAATTTGGTTTAGAATCAAGACATCAAAGATAGATGGGAGAAATATTTCTATAAACTTTTTAATGATGCAGAAGGAGAAAATGAAACATAGTAAGATTAGAAATGCAAGTGAATAACCTAAATTTGGTATATTATCATAAGATTCAAGATGAAAAAGTAAAAAAAAAAAAAAAAAAAAGCTCTTACGAGGATGAATTGTGGTAAAGTGGTTGGCTCTTATAATATCCCTAGGGGAGTATGAAAAACTTTGGGAAAACAAAGACTTGAGTAGCTCACTAATTTCTTTAATGAGATTTTGAGATCTAGGAATATGTCTAGTAGATAGAGAAAGATTACTTTGATTCCTATACACAAGAACAAGGGTGCTATCCAAAATTGTACAAACTATTGAGGGGTTAAACTTATTATGAGTCACACTATCAAGTTATGAGAAAAGATGATTGAACATGGAATAAAGGAAGAAGCTGAAATTGTAAAAAATCAATTTGGTTTTATGCCAAAAAAAAGTCTACAACAAAAGCTACATATCTTTTACAAAAGATGATGAAAGCATATGCCACACAAAAAAAGACTTACATATGATTTCTATTAACTTGTAAAAAGCATATGATCGGATACCAAGAGAAGTGTTATGGAAGGTTTTATAAAAGAAAAGAGTTGGTGTAACATATACCTGAGCTATACATAACACGTATGAGGGGACAAGTACATGCATGAGAACTTTTAGAGGTGTATCTAAAGATTTCTCAATAAGGATAGATTTACATAAAGGCTAGGTTTTGAGCCTTTACTTATTTGATATAGTCTTAGATGTGTTTATACGTGACATACAACAAATTATCCCTAAATGCATGCTCTCAACAAATGATATATTATTAGTTGAGGATTTGAAAGAAGAAGTTAATGCTAAACTTAAGTTATGGAGGGGGACTTTAAAATTTAGGAGTTTTTCCAGTAGAAACAAGATAGAGCATATGCATTGTAAGTTAAAAAAAAAAAAAGATAAGATGAAGATCATGTGTTGAAGGTTAAAATTGGAGATGATATTATACTACAAATTTTCAAATTCAGGTACTTCGGGTCGATTTTGTAGAATGATGGAAAAATCAATGAATATGTTATCATATAATACAAGGAGGGTGGTTAAAGTAGTGAAAAACATTAGAAATCATTTGTAAATATAAAATACTTTTCAAGTTGAAAGAAAAGTTTTATTGTAATGTAATATGCTGAGCTATCTTATATGATAGTAAATGTTGGAACTTAAAAGGAACAATATGAGAAGAAAATGAGAGTACAGAAGTTAGAATGACAAGGTAAATGAGTAGTTGTACAAGAAATAACAAAATAAAAAATGATAATATACAACAAAATGTTGAAAGTTAACCTATAATAAAAGAAAAATAAAAAGTGTCTAAAATAATTTAGTCACATAAAAAAAAGATCTTTAAAGATACTAATAAAGAGAATAGATTGCATGGCTTTTAATTTAGTAGAAAGAGTCTTGTAAATCTCAAAAGAATCTTAAACGATATTATTCAAAAGAGACTTTTTGATTAATCATATTTATAAAAATTTAATTCTTAATTAAGTTCATTAATATAGTATGATACATGTAACTGAGTTCACTTAAGTGTTGTATTATAAATTAAAAATAAAAAATTATTCATAAATTAAAATATTGATAAAAGTAAAATTTATTCTTTTACCTAAAGAAATTATCATTCTTTATAAAAGAGATGGTATTTCTATACTAAGATATTTAAATATAAGCATCATGACATTTTTCTTCCTCAATTAGTTTTTCCCTTTTGTATTGTTTGCAAGTTTGGAGAAACTATAACATATATGTATCAATCTTTTCATCTTCTTCACTGTAAACTGATCAAGACTTAGCAAGTACCTTGTATGTTATTTAGAACCAATACCTATTCTCTACCAACACCCAGTAAAACTATTACCATGCATTAGCAGCTTTCTATATCTACAAATTATAGAAAGTACTGAAAATGTTTCTCCATAATACCTTTCATTAGTTATGATACGAAGATATCAATATCATTAACACCAAATAAAATAAAATCAATAAGACAAGTGTGACTCTAAAAACATCAAAGAAATTCATATTAATTTCAACAATTTAAGCATTAGCAAGACTCAGACCACCCTCCAAGTACGAAGCTTTGCAGCTTTATCAATCCCTTGTTATTGAAATCAACAATGGTGAAAGCATCAAGTTCAACTTCAGGTAAAAAGGAATAAGTACCCAATACATTTGTTCTATACACTTTTTTCTCTTTTATAACTTTTGTTCCCTTCCCTCACCCTATGTTATTTTGGACGAACACCTAAACTTCATAATAACACCAGTCATTAAATAACAAAAACATTTGAAGTAAGTAGTACATAAGCAGCAAGAATAAAGAAGAGAAAGGAGGAGGGACACGCATTCTTTCATTTGCAATGAGAATTCAATAGTCGTTTCACATTAAAATTAATATATATGCCTTGCTTATAAAGTGATGCAAGATTTATTAATATGATTTTAAAAGTATGATAGCTCTTAATTAGATAAATATAGAGTTTGAAGGTATATTTTGTATATACAAATGATATGTACAACATTCTTAACTTCCAAAATGATTTTCAAGCAACTACATATCTTTACAGATTTAAAATTCAAAGTAAAAAAATAAAAAATATTATTCAAAGATGTTTTCAAACCCAAGAACAACCTAGCGTCTTTTTTATATTCTTCATAGCTTTTCTTAATAAGCATAAAATCAAATATTAGGATACTGATCGAAATCAATAACAACTTTTAAGTGTTGTCTTGATTAATAATTTAAATTTTGGCTCGTTAATCCATTTTTTCTTACAAAAATTGTTAAGTATAATTAAGTCATCAATATATATTAGAAATAAAGTGAAAATAATAAATAAATATGAAGTGTGAAGAGATTAAAAATACTACAATAGATTCAAATCATACTTTTAGGAGAAATTTGAGTTCAAACTTAGAACAAATGCTTTAGAAGAGAATTGCACCAAATTGAGCATCAGAACTAAAATTTTAGGTTTCTTTCCCTCACATCAAACAGCTTTGTTGCAGTATTCATTTGTTAGAATGGAAAGACATAAATAGTTGTTCGTACCTTCCAAATAAAAGTTCATTCATTTAAAATGTTTATAAACAATAACATTTAAGTTAGAAATAATATATTGGATCATTGAGTCAAGATCATACAAACCTGAAAATAAAATCCATCAAATGACCAATTAAGAAAATAAAAGCAACCCAGTTGTCAGTAGAAGCTAAAAGAAGTGGTTTAATTATATAAAAAATAAATAAAATAGGCTCACCCTCACCATCAAACACAAACAATATATACAAATAGTTAACATATATGTAATATCAATGCAAATACATAATTTTTTTTATTGAAGATATAGTTGTAGAACCTCTTCACATTTTGATTTTAAGAACATGTCTTTTCCGACTAAATCCTGAACATTTGAAATGGAAGCGACCCTTAACACACAAAACTAAATAAATAAATAAATAAAAATCTAATCTTATATGCAACAAAAATAAATTATAATTTCTTTTTTCCTTCAAATAAAAAAAAATTATTTCACAGTTTACTATACTTAATTTTTAAAATTAAATTATCATAGAATAATATATTAATTACATGATCTCTCTTTCTGCAATAACTTTATTTTTATTTATTTTTTATTAATTTTTTGTTCTAAATTTGAAAATAAAATTTATTATTTAACCTTTTTTAATTACTTTGTATAAAAATTTTAAATCTATGTTTACATTTATAAAAATTTCCTTTTATTTTATATAATTTTTCAAAATTTATATAAATATTTTTATTTTGTATTAAAATCATAATCCTTAATATATTACTTCTATTATTTTAAAATAAATTATATTTTAAATTTATTATTTTATTAAATTTTTATCATTTTAATATATATTATTTATAGTTACAAAGTTAAATTAAAACCACTTTAAAAATTTTAATATTTTTTAAATAATTATATATATATATATATATATATAAAAAGTAAAATGTACGTGAATTGCACGTGCTACTAAATAACTTTATTAAAAATAAACATAGATAAATGATAACAAAAACCATCTAATTTAATGTCACACGATTTATATGTCGGAACATAGATTTAGAATTGAGTGATAAATTATCTATTTCTACTAAAAGACAGCAATGGTTTTTTTCAATAAAGTAGTAGTAAATCCCTCAACAAATAAAACGAAAAGAAAAGAAATAAGAACTGATTGAAACTGTTAAAAACTATAGATTATGCCAATGGAATGTTCTCCAACACAATTTTTATTTTATGTACAAAAAACTGAAACCCATCAATAATAATCAATTAATTTTTTTCATTTTAAATAAATTAAAAAAATCAAACCCAATACATAAAAATATATAAACATTATAATAACTTACATTCTTTATGTAAAGTGAAAAAAATAATAATTTTAAACTCAAATTTCAATCAAGTATTAAATTTTGTATGTTAATTTTAAGGTGTGAAATAAAAGAAGTTACGAGTTAAAATTCACATTTATTATGTTGCAGGCTTTTGTTAACGTATCTCTGCTATTATTAAATTCGTCTATTTTGTAATCAAATTTTAAATAATATTATTTCAGTAAATAATTACAAAATTACATTATTAAGATTAAAAACAAGTTATATTTCCACCGGGGAAACATTGTCTCTCTTTATACTTTCTTTTCATGCATCATGTTTTAAGACGATAAAATTCAATTATTCACTTTCTTTAAAGGGGTGAAATATTAAAAACATTTAATACTACAAAAAGTAAAATTAGGCTCAATTGAATTTTTAGAAAAAGAATCTAAAGTGTGGACACTCTTTCCTAGTATTATTTAACGGGACTGAACTGACAAGTCTGTTTTCTGTTACATTCACTTTAATTGGTCATCACTCCCAATTCAAAAATCCCTATTTATTCAATCAACCAAATTCATTCAATTTAATTCTACGCGATGAAGGAACCCTGTGATCTTGGCACGCCGAAGCGCCGAGAAGCAGGGGTCAACAGAAAGAGAAAGTCCACCGAAATACTCACTCCATGCAAAAGAGCTTCTAAGGTGGTGTTGTTGTTAATGCTCTTATTAGTTGTTTGATTCTGCATGCATTGAGTGGATTAGAGTAATTCACTGTTTGCATGACAGATTTGAGTCTGCAACTTTGGTTTCCTTGCTTCTTAACTGTGATGTTTTTATGTGCTTTTGGTCCTGTTTTGAATCAGGAAAATTCAAGCATGTGTGCAGGACAGAAAATACATCCATTTTTTTCATTATGGAAGCGCGGAAAAAATGATTCAAAACATGATTTATCCATGGCTCAGAGAAACGGCGGAAAATTTCTCTATGTTCCAATTCATGTATTTGAAAATGTTCAGGTATGGTAGTTGTGCCTGTGATTTGATGTTGTTGCCTCTAATATAATCAAAGTTAGCCTGATTTTTTATTGATTAGGTGTAAAGCACAAGGCCTTTTTGATGGGATTTCACTGATAAATATGTTGAGGGATTGGGAAGCTTTGTTTCATTGATTTTCTTTTTGTTCATGATAGTTTTCTATTTTGCTTATTTCCCCTAGGAAGATTCCTTATCCTCTTTTTTGGTTTTAACTTCTTCGCTTCATCGCAATCAATATCTTCAATCAATATCTTCTTTTGTTGGAGAAAACTATCGAAGTTGGTCAATATTAAATTCTCCAATTTCTTCTTGTTTCAATAAGGCATAAAATTTGTCTATGCAGGATGATCCTACACCTCTCGATTGGAGTGACTGGACATTTTTGGGGAAGACCGCCCAAGTGGATTTTGGTCCAGAAAGTTCAAATTTGTCTGCTTTTGAGGATTCTATTGAATCCCTAAATTTCGATCATTTTCTTAGTGCTTCAAAATCCTCATCTTCAATTTTTCCAAATGCCTTCTCTTGCTCAGATCAACTTTCTGTACAACCAGATAATATGCTGAAAATATCACTAGCAAACTCAAATGTGCTAGCTAATCAGCAAACAATATGTCCTTCAAAGCCAGAAGATTCCAAAGTGGTATATAATTTATTGTATTATCTCCTTAAGGACTTTGTATAGCTTTCAGGTAATAAGTGGAGCTGTGGAAGCTAGTTTGCGGGGGGGGGGGGGGGGGGGGGGATACTCTCACCTCCATGTCAATGATTTATGACTGTTGCAAAAAATTTATTGTCAGGAGGACTTGGAGGTGAATGAAGTCAGTACTTTTTCAGGGCATAGGGGCATTTTCAGGAAGTCAGATACTGAGCCATCGAGTAAATTTCTTCAAGAAAGGTAAACAAATACATGACCACACCAAATATCTTAACAGCAATAATATTTGTATATCTTATAGTCAGTTAAGTTTTTTATATTGATTTTATATATGTCATGCACATTCCCGTTATTGCAGATGCTGCTCATTACCTTCTGATTATGTTGCACTGCCTTTGTTCACTTTTCTTCCCTAACATTGTAGGACCTAACTGTTGTTTGGATTTGGACTTTGGCTCAGTTGTGAGACCCATATGTCTTGGAAAGATATATCCTAATTAATTGGTTTATTTGGGGGTTTTTTTGGCTGAAAGTAAGGTGGTTGTGAGATCATTTTGTGGTGTCTACATCTTGATAAATGTGGTATACTAATTTCAGCAAATTTCTGGTGCCTTCTTTCCAAATTATCTCTCTTGTGGTCTGTTATACTCAGTTTCTCTCAGCAGTTTAGCAGTGGAATTTATTGATCTTTTAAATAAAAATGGTTGTATTTCCATCCCCTTTGCTTCTGATGGAGTTTGCTGCATCCAGGACAGCTGCAACATCAATTGTCTGTCACTTATTCATTAAGCTTAGCTAGTAAGTTTATTTCCTGCTAGTGAGGTTTTCCCTTGTACCCGGCATTGCAGTATGAAATCTTATTACCATAGTCGTGAAGATAAGGCTGAGAGCAGCTTATGGATACACAAGTACAAGCCAACAAAGGCCTTTGAGGTCAGACATTTCTGGTTCATATATTTTAATAACATACACATATATGGTATATGTATAAATAGAGTTGCATATTTTAATTCTTAATGTTTTTTACTTCCTGAATCATGCTTTTCTTGTTTCATGACTTCTAGGTGTGTGGTAATGATGAAGCTCTGAATATCTTGGGTGAATGGTTACATCTTTGGCATGAAAAGCGTTATCAATGCAGAAGGGAATCCTCTGACAGGGATATGAGTGATATGAAAGATGATGAAGATGATTATAACTGCTCTGATGGTGACTATGCTCCGAAATATATTGACGATAAGGATTCCCTACAGAACGTTCTTTTGCTTACGGGACCTGTTGGGGTGTGTGGAAATATATTTAGTCAAAACTGTGGCATATACCCAATGGATACATAATCCTGTGCTATTTGATTAATGAAAATATAATTTAATGGGTGAAAATCCAAGTTGATATGGAGAATAAAAATGACATTTATTGTTAACTAACCAGAGACCGGATGACAATGAATGCCTGGTTACTGCTAGAGTTTGGGTATCAACGACCCAATTATAAAACCATTTCACAACTGAATTTAATATTTTGGAAGCACTTATGACCATGCACCTGAATTTTTTTATGGCATATTGAATCCTACGTAACAAAGCTATGTTTATTTATGTACTATTTCTCCTTACCAGTTACCAACAGCATTTAGGTTATTAATGACTCTTTATAACCTCTGTTTGTATTTTATTTATTTTTGTTTTTGAAAAATTAATAGAGTCCTAGTTTTTTTATTTTACTTTTCAAGTAGTCTGTTGTGTATTTGATCATAAAATATTCAGAAAAGTTAAGGACTTTAATGGGGCTTCTAATGATAGTATTAAGGAATGATAATCTTTTTTTTGTTGGTGCTTTGAATGTGTATATAATCTAAACTTTCCTGTTTGTTCCTTCCAAAATTTTCTTAGCTTGGATAAGTATAACATCGTTGCACCTCTGTTCAATTATGCATTATAATTATCAAGAAAAATTGTGTGATTCTTAATCTGATTATCATTTAGGTAGTAAGGAATGGTTGTCATTTTTTTCTTGGTATTTTGATTGAAGGCATGTGTATAAAATCTAAAATGTCCCATTTGTCCCTTGTTAAAGTTTCCTGATGTGGGCAAGTCCAACATAGTTGTAGAAAATCATCACTATTTGTGTTTGCAGATTCAATACTTTTCTATATAATCACTTGTTCATTCGTTATTTCATATTGGTTGCTAAAGCACTAGTCTGTCATACCGCAGAGTGGCAAGTCTGCAGCTGTGTATGCATGTGCCCGAGAGCAAGGGTTTGAAGTTTTAGAGGTATCACTATTTATATTTTGGATATTTATGCTTTCAACTGATCCATTTGTAATGAAGATATTCATTAATCCCATGCACCCTGCAAATAGCTACCTTCAATTTTTCAGAATGATTGCTAATTATCAAGCATTGAAATTTATCAGCCAGATTGGGTTTTATTCTGATGTATAACATGCCTTCTATTCTGAACTTTCGATTTATGCATTCTATTTCATTTCATGCCCAATATGAGTAATGACAGTTTACAGATTGTTGTATTATTGTAAAAGCATCATTTATCTTGTGTTTTTTTTTTCGGTAAATATAGTAACTAGGAACATAATATTGGAGTTGCATAAATATGATAATTAGGATTATAATATCAGGATAGGATTTATAGATCCTTGTACACTTATTTAAATTAAGATCTGTTGGTCAAATGCAATACACATAAAAGATAATATTTAGACTCTTATTTTCACGTTGGTATTACAGCTCTTGAGGTCGGGAGCTCTGCTTCTATGCGCATAAACCCTATAGCCGTCTTCATTAACTTGAACCCTAGGTTGCCTCGAGTGCAACAACTCAATGCTTGGAATCTTAATCGTGCCAATTTTTTTTTTTTCAGTTCCTACAACTTTGAGACAAAAGCACAAAACTAATTTAGAGTAAATCTGACTACTCTAATGTCATTCAGCAGTCATTGAATTTATAATTGCATTTTGTACAAACTGAATCCCTTGATTATAGGGATTGATTGAGTAATTACAATTGATCTTAATTACCTTATTTACATGATAAATTAGATTTCTATATACAAGGAAAGAATGGTAACTACATTAATAACTGAAATACAAAGATTCTCAACCCTCCCCCGCAAGCTGGTGCATATATATTATATGCATCAAGTTTGTCACAAATGTATGTTATTCTTAGACCTTGAAGTGACTTAGTAAGCATGTCAGCCAATTGGTCTCTATATGTTTGGTCTGCTCATGAAAGATAGGGTTAGAGGCAATGTGTAAGGCTGTTTGGTTATCACAAATAAACCTCATAGATCCGATCTCACAAGACTTTAACTCAAAAATAAGCTTCTTTAGTCATATAAGTTCGCATATGATAGTGATCATTGCTCGATATTTGGCTTCAGCAAAAGGACGACAAATAGGTATAAGAAGAACAAAATTTAAGGATAAATCAAGAAGAAGGGTAGTTTGTCCAATGCCAATGGCATTAGCTTTTGAACCATCAGCAAGGGTAAAGTGGTGTGCTGTTTTAAGTTGTGACAAATTTGAGAAGAGAGAACGATTACCAGCATTGTGGTCAGAAGCACCAAAATCTAATATCCAAGATCCAACAGACGATTAAAGAGAAAAGCAAATTGTAGAGTTATCAATCACTATGGCAAGGGAAGATTGTTGTGTTGCTGCCTCAGCTGTAGGTACTCCTTATACTCCATATCTAACAAAATATTATGATTGTCTCCACCAAGTTTAGTTTTCTTTTCCAAAGCGGAAGACTGAGAGTATGTCACATAGGCTGATTCTCAGGAAATTCAATCAAGGAATAACAATTATCTTGGGTGTGGGTCATATGCTTACAATAAGAGCATTGTGGATGATTACTATAACCACAACCTCCTCGACCACAACTTCAACCTCCACGGCTTGTCATATTATAAAGGAATGCAAAAGACTCTAAACCTGGTTGAGAAACATTTCCTGATATAGTTTCTGGAGATGGGACATGCAATAGACAATCAATGAGGTTTTATGTTGTAGGTACACTGAAATTTGTCAAAATGTGGTTTCGAATAGATTCAAAATCTTTGTGAAGGCCATGAAGAATGAACACCATGCACATGTTATCAATCTTGTCTAAGACTTTATGAAGGTCCTCACCTATCAAGACTAACGTAACTTCATCAATGGTGGATTGTGCTCTATTCAAATATGATGGGGGTCGTTATCAGTCATTTTAACTGCAGCCAAATTATGTACAACATCATAGAGACGCTTAACATCATCCGAATAAACACTACGAGCTTTCTTCCATACATTGTGACATGTCTTATATTACGAAAATAGACTAATAGTTTCATATCAATTGACTGCCGTAGAAGTGAAACCAACTAATAATTAGCCTTCTTCCACTGATCTCGTTCAGTAGGATTAATGTCATTTGTCTTCATAGTCAAATGATCAGAGAGATCTTGACCCGAAAACCATATTTTCACTACAACTTGTCAATCCATATAATTTTTTCCATTAAGTTTCTCTCAAGTTATTGATGGATTTCCAAAGAAAACAAAGGATACAAGGTTTTTGCTTAAGGGTGCTATTAGAGTTAGTGGTTGACTCTGTTGGATCTAAAGCCATAACTATTGAACAAGGTGAGATACGAAAGAGACTAAAATAAGTTCAGCAACCTAGAAAATGACACCCAAAAGAGACAAAGGGTGTGCCAACGAGGTGAATGGCACCAGCAGTGAGACAAACGGTATAGCGTAGGACGGTGCGTGGGCTACCAATAGGTGGCAGCGACTGGTGGAACAGCTGATCAGAGACTTTTGGGGCTAGTGCCGAAGACTCAGGCCAAATGGTGGCTGGACGTCGAGACAACTAGGATTGACGGTTCTTTAGACTCTGCATTTTGTTTTATCAAGCCCACGGAATATGAGCTTTGATACCAACTTGAGATAGAAGCACAATTAATTTAGGATAAATTTGAATGCTCTAATGTCATTCAGCAAGTACAAACTTAACCCCTTCATTATAGGGATTGACTTAGTAATTACAGTTGATCCTAATTACCTTATTTATATGATAAATCAGATTTCTATATGCAAAGAAAAAGTGGTAACTACATAATAACAGAAATACAGAGATTGTCAACACTATACATTGTCGTCCATCACTATCAACTAATAGAGATTGCTCTGATCAGACCAAAAACATTACCATTGAAATCGGAGCATTGAGATTGGCCATATCTTGTATTAGATTTATTCCATGATGTAAATTTTATCTTTGATTTCACTATTATGGAATTATTTTTTCTATTGATCTTGAATTCCATGGTTTTCACACAACATACAAGTTATTCCATAACATACAAGTTTTTTCACAATCAGGTTTAGAGAGTACTAACCTGAATCCATTATACTTTAATGTGATCTCCCTTTGATATTCTTGAGCTCTTGGTATTTTTTTCAATTCTTCCTTTTTCCTTTAGCTTTCCTTTGATGGTTGAGAAAAAATGTTCCTTTCTGATTACCATAAGACTGTGGAAAAGAGAGAGAGAGTATAATCCATAGTTTGGAACCACTTTTTTATTTTTATTTTTTAAAGAGAAGTGAGAGTTTCCTTATAATTGTGTTTACAATTATACCCTAATGATTCTATATTTTATATTTAACAATCATCACATTAAATCTTTAATTAGAGTTATGTTATAAGTTACATAAGTCATTATATAGATTATTAAAATAATCCAACACCCTAAAATAATCCAATTCTTCCTTTCTCCTTTAGCTTTCTTCTAATGGTTGAGAGGAAATGTTCATTTTTTATTACCGTAAGACTGTGGAAAAGAAAGAGAGACTGTAATCCATATTTTGGCAACTACTTTTTTATTTTTTTTAAGGGAGAGGGGAGGGTTTCTTTAGAATTGTGTTTACAATTATACCCCTAACGATTTTATATTTTATATTTAACAACCATCACATTAAATCTTTAATTAGAATCATGCTATAAGTTACATAAACCACTATATAAATTATTAAAATAATCCAACACCCTAAAGTAGTGTCGTCGAAAACTCACCATGTGCCTCCACTCACCACGACAACTACCACCACAGGAAGCTCATACGCTGCCTTCCTGAACTCCATTCACGATAGTACTTTTATAGACAATGTCATTTGCCCTCCCTGAGCTTGTTTCAAGGGATATGTGAGTTACTATGGATGAAATTTTCCTTGATGACCTCAAAGTACCCTATGAAACTCATGTTAGACACTTGTGTGATAATAAATCAGCAATCAATATTGTTCATAATTCAGTCCAACATGATAGAACAAAGCATATTGAAATAAATTGGAACTTCATAAAAGAAAAGCTGGAGAGTGGCCTCATAGAAACAACATATGTTCCTTCTAGAGAACAGTTGGTGGATATTTTGAATAAGGGTCTACTTATAAAGCAATTCAAAACTCTTATTCACAAGTTCTGTTCACCAGCGCTTGAGGGGGAGTGTTAAGAGAATATTTCTTGATTTGGTGCAAAATTATCTTTTGTTTTATTGATATGTAAATTTGGTAACTAGGAATGTTTATTTTGTAAATATAATATTGGGATTGCATAAATACGGTAATTAGGATCGTAATATCAGGATTCCATTTATAGATCCTTGTACACTTAAATAAATACAGACCTTTGGGTCAAATTCAATACACAAAAAATAATATTCAGTCTCTTATTTTCAAGTATCTCTTCAGAAATTGTATCCATTAAATTTGAAGCAGAATGTGTTAGAGAAATGCAAGTGATTTGGGTGATTCATCATCTTTTTCTATACACTTCACAACTGTAGTAAATGCTTCAGCATTTATATCTTTCCCTTCAGAATTCTGAAATTTTTCACTCTCTTTTTGGGAATTATGATGATTTTCAGCATTGCCCATGTGACCAGATGCATTATAATTCAGTCACCGCCAAAGTTAAGCATTTTTCCGTACGCCAATGTGCATCTCCCATGACTACACCTAACACCACTGATTCCTCTCACAAATTGGAGGGCTCATAACCAAAGGCATATGAAGCCTTCATCTACTTTCTTTACAACCCATAAGTCTCTTTTCCTGAAAGCATCATAATAGTAGTGTTGGAAACAATTACTAGTGTTGCTTTTATACTGGCCTAGTCTCCTATGGGAAGTATTTGAGAGACATATCTGGCATATATCCTCCACGCCCCTATGAGCAACTGTTTTTTAATATCTTCTAGTTGTTTAAAATTAAATCAACTCCTTTCTTTGTGTTTATGTATCCGGAATTTTGTATATGAATCTGGCCAAAACTAACAAGATTTACCATTCATATTGTGTCAACAGCTCAATACATCAGACCGTCGAAATGGGGCTACTGTCAAGCAGAATTTTGGAGATGCTCTTGAATCACATGGGTTCAGGTTTATTAATTTGTCCTGCCAACGCTTGCTAAGAACTATTTTGATTGAAATCATCTGTTCCTGAGTAATTTTATCTGACCATACTATAACTTGTACACGTGCTTTCACTTTCCTAAAAATTATTTTGGCTTAAATGACTTATTATTTTGTTTGAGGAAGAGTATTTCTTCTTTCATGGGTAATCAGTGTTTCATTGAAATTGAACATGAGAATATTGATGCCCTTGAAGAGATGCCATAGATTATTGAAGAAACAATACTATATGCTGAATAAAGTAAAACACGGTTAGTTATTGCAAAATCGCATACTTCTATGTTTTCTTTACATTAGTAGTTTGATATTTTCAAGCTCTAGTAGGGTGATTATCCAATTAAAGAGAGAAAAATTTATATTTTCAGGATTGTAAAACCTAGAAAGCATGAGCTAACCATTAAGAAGTGTTGTTGGAATCCCTAGAAGCCTTAAGCCATAACCTTTTCATGTGGGCTGGACGGGTTCTTTTATTCATTTTCAGTGAAATAGAAAAGCAAAATTAGTGCGTCTAAGGGGAAAAACAAAAGAGCAAGGAATTTAAAATTGAGCTTCTTCATTACATGGTTTTGCTTTTCAATGTTATTTAACGGAATCAAGTTAATCACTGTAAGAACCCTTTCTGTCAAACTGTTCTGTGATAATACATTTTATATGCTGCTTCTCTTTCAGGTTAATGGATCAGGATCACACTGCTAGTTCACATAAAAAAATTACAAAATTGCCCTCAGCTCCAGCTTTGCCTAATGGTAAAGCAGCTAAGGAGATGAATGATGATGGGGTGATTGAACTGATTACCATATCCAATGATGAAACCCATAGTCCTGCTGGAACTTCTCCGAGGTTACATGACCAAAAAATTGTATATATAGGAGATAATAGTATCCAAACTTTAATTCTAGTTGAGGATGTGGACATCCTTTTTCCTGAAGATCGTGGTTGTATTGCTGCCATACAACACATTGCTAAGGCAGCACAAGGGCCAATTATATTGACCAGCAATAGTGAGATGACTGTTAATTCTTCATTGCTCAACAATCAACATATAGCTTTTATCAATGTGTTCATATTTATGACAAGATCATTTTTTGTAAATTAGGTAAGAAGCCTGGACTGCCAGATAAGTTTGCTAGACTACATGTTTCTTTCACATTGCCTTCACCAGATGAGTTATTATGCCATTTGTACATGGTATGTGCTTTAGGATTTCCGATCCAATCCCTCAAAAGAAGGAAAAACTGAAAAAGAAATTTATGTCTTCTGTGGATGAACTGCAGGTTTGTGTCACAGAAGAAGTCAACATTGATCCTCTTTTACTGGAGAAATTTATAGAGTCTTGTGATGGAGATATTCGTAAAACCATCATGCAACTTCAGTTCTGGTTCCAGAGTAAAAAATATAGAAAAGGTTACATTTATTGCATGACATGTTTATGCTCATAAGAAAACCACAGCTGTTTAAATTTCAGTTAATTACTCTGTTCTTGGATTGTTCTCATACAATTAACGCCTACTTTTTAAAATTCGTTTTAGAAATAGCTTGTAGCACGTACATAGCAAAGAAAACATCTCATTATATTATTTATGGATTGATTATGGGAAAGGATTTACAAGGGGGGGAGGGGGTCGAACCATTTTGTAATGGGAGTTATTGGACAAGGAAATACCAATATCAGTTGAACTGTTATTTATTTATTCATTCATTCTCTTGGAACAAATTATTTCTTTGTATATAGGAATTGTCTTCCTTGAGATTTATTAAGATCAGTATGTGTCCTCACGTGAGCCATCCATGTATAGGTTTCAACAAGTTTACATTGACTATCAAAAACGTAACACAACCCTTCTTTACCTTAGCTTGGGATCTATTATGAGACCATAGGCAGAGTAAGGGTTTTCACTTAAGTCAAAGTATAACAGAGTATATGCATTGCAATTTTAACAAGAAACAAAGATGAAGATTATGCATTAAAAGTCAAAATTGGAAATGACTTAATACCACAGGTTTCTAAGTTTAAGTAAGGTTTGATTTTTCACAAAATAGTGGACAAATCCCTTCCATGAGATTTATTAGGATCAATATGTTCCCTCACCAGTTTTCTTGTAGTGCATAATACACTATTATATGTCAGTATTTTCTACATTAGTAAATCTTCTTGGAGTGTGATCCTTGGTGCTACAGTTAGGTTGTTGCCTTGTGACCGGGATGTCATGGATTCAAATCCAAGAAATAGCCTCTCCACTTGCATGGATGAAGTTATGTACGTCTAGCCTGCCCAGACCCACAAGGTGGGAGCCTTGTGTGTGTGACTGTTTCCCTCGAGTCTTTTGCTGAATGTATTTATTGTTTCCTCTATTCATTGTGGTGGAAAGATTTTTCTTCCCAAGACACTTCCCGAAACGAACAACTCAAATCTTTTTTTCTTTTTTTGCTAATAAACATGCTTAGCTAATTCATATTGGCAAATATTACAAGTTACAATTCCTGTTTAACTTATTACCATTGGAATAGCTTGCAGAAACTTATGTTCTTTCTTTACTGTTCCAGACAGGAAAGTGCAGATGGTGTATGGCTCACTTCCCTTTGATCTTGAGGCTTGTCATCAAATTACACCAAAGATCCTACCCTGGAATTATCCCTCAGAACTATCCAAACTAATTGAGAAGGAAGTTGCCAAGTCAATAACCATAATGGAAGAAAACTCATGCTTGCAGGGTTTAGTTAATAAAGAGCTTGACATAAATGAAAGGCAAAATGATTTTGATGTGAAATGTATGAGGACTGATTATTTAGAGGCCAAGGCAGAGAGGATAAAGAGGAATACATCTCTTACAGACTGCAGTGAGTTTGAAAGTGAATATAATGCTATTTCTGAGCTTTCTAATTGTTCTAGATCCCCAGTAACATCCTCTTTGAAAAAGGGTCAAAAGGAACTTATGCTGAGGTCCTCTGATTCTGGTGAAAAGGATCCAAATAATGGACTTTGTCCAGACGTTCATGATGAATCTTACAAGAAGAGACATTCCGTTGAAAGCAACAGTGAATCTCCCTGTAAGCTACAATTGAATCAAAGCTACATAAGTACATCATTTTGCAAACTCGTTGGTTCTGGTTTGGATGGTTCAGAGGAGCAATGCAAATATTTAGAAACTGTGCATGATGTCTGCTTAAATGAATCACAGAAATCGTTGGACCTATCCTGCTTTACAGGATCAATATTCCCTCCTGAGACTGCAAATCAAAATGGAATAAAGACAATGTCGGGATCAGTGTCTTCTGGTCATCTTGCGTATCCGGTAGAAGTTTCTTTGAACAATGAGCTGACACCATTCACTCACAGTGATTGTCATTGCTTAGCCAAATTGCCACAAAATTCTGATTCATTGGTGAATGCTGAATTTCCAGAATCTTCTCCAAAAGCAGCTGTACAAGATTTCAGAGATGAGAGCACACAAACCAAAACTGTGTATAATGGGATGGATGAGTGCAGTCATGTTGATATGACATTGAAGTCAAAGTTTGTTGAGTCTAGTCCTTCTATGGAGACAGATATGGTACAAAATTTATGGAGGAAACTTCGAGTTTGTCGAACAAATTTTAGACAGCATGCCAACTTAGAAAAGTTGGGTGTTATTCAAGTTGTTAAACTTACTAGTGGGCTGACCAATCTAATTTCAGAAGCTGATTTGCTGTTTAGTAATCACCAACAAAAACAATGTGTAAGTGCCCTAAAAAAATTGTTTTTCTTCATTGGTATTTTATCAATACCTCATTACCTCCTCTATGATAATAATGAACGTGCAGGGTATTTTGGAGCCTCCATTGTCCCTTTCTGATGAAGCCACATTTAACTGGTATGATGAGCAAATGATGATGTCTACTGTTGCTGCACATGGTTTTTGTTTTTATGCCAAACATATATCAGATGTGGGATCTAGGTTGGGTTTTAATAACAAGGTAGATCTAACTTCAGAGATGTTGGATTGCACTACTAATGTTATGGCACTGGGAAAATTATCTAGACAGGACGACACAAAATACACGAGTATCTACACTAAAAAGCAATTAGAGGTCAACAACCCAGCAAATGATAAGAGGTATTTGGCCATGGTTTTCAATTTTAATGTTTAGTGCTCACAATTCCACACCTGACCAGAACTTTTTTTCTTAGAATATTTTTTCCGTATTTGCTTAATGTCTATCTTACATTGGTTGCATGCAATACAATGAAAACAGAACATCATTGGTCAACGTAATTGGGTCTATTGTTCCTGCAAGATCGTCATTGACACTAAAAGGTCTTGCACTCAATGAATATGTGTCTTCACTACGCCAAATTTCAATTTCAGAAGGTTTCCGCATTTCACAAGGCGTTGCAAAGACAAGAAAACTAAGGTACATGTTTGTGAAGCAAATTCAGTTTTCATCCTTTTGATTGATTGGAAAAGTTATCCACAAATCCTTATGTAGCTCCTCAATCGCATGTTTTATTGCAGGATGCGGGGTTCTCAACATTATTTGAGCAGATGTAGGATGAAGTTGTCTCCTGAAGATATATCATTGGTGTGTGAGGGCGATTTGTACAGAAAGATTTCATCACAATATCCTGCTAACATGGAAAGCAATTGTACATGATTAACCTTTAGAGCGTAGATTTATTAACAGAGCCATTCATTCTATGAAATAAAAGCGTTGATGATTGCATAGGACGAGGAGGCCAAGGTTATGACTACGACCATTGGGTGAAATTGCAAACTAAACTAGAGCAGCAATAGGATTTGCACAAGAGGTAGTAATTGTCAAATTGATTAATATTATTGTTGAAATTATTTATTTTGAACTAGAATTTTAGTGATTGTATCAATGCACCAAAATTTCAATCTTACAGCTTTTTGCTTCATTAAATGAGATTTATATTCATGTTTTGTTATTTATTTATCTGTTCATAAATATTTTTTTCTGTTTTTTTCTTTTACATTTAGTATATTATTTTGTTATTTTTTATTGTCGTTTTATAAAATTAATGAATAATTTTACAGTTAATAATAAATGTGTTTGGTTGAATGTGTTTTTCTTTTCTAAAATACCCATTTTTCTCACTAACATATGTTAATAAAGTAGCTGATGAGTATAATAAAAAATTTAATGAGAAATTTTTATGAAATAAGAATATCAATCATTTTTTAATTTCTATGTAAAAATTTAAATTTCAAAGAAAAATAGAGAATATTAAATATATGTTACTTATTGAATATCTATCAAGAAAAATAAAATGAACACGATATTTTTTATTGTAATAAAATTTGACCCAAAAATATTTACTTATTTTGTCTTTATTAGGAAAGAGATGAAACAAAATAAAATTTTTCCATCATGACTTTTTTTCATGTCAGAAAATTTTAACATGATTTTATCATTTTAAATTTGACATGAAAGAATTTTGAATGAGGTAGATAGAGGGTTCAACAATAAAATGTCACGAATTCACTCAATTAAAACTTAAACCTAAATTTATTCAACCAATTGTTAAAACTTGTCATGTTTCTTTCATTAAAAACTAGTTAAGTGTTGGGATGTACAAACAAAGTCTCACATTTATTAAAATTAAGGAGGATCAAGAGCATATAAGTATGATAGATATCTCTATTTGTATGAGGCTTTTTGGTGGATATCTAAAAATAAAACCATGAGAACTTTGATTCAAAGTAGATAACATCATACTAGTATAAAGATATACGTAAAGTTCATACACAACTAACAAGCTCTGCGTATCATAGCTCACCATGTGATCTCTCGAATAGGGTCAACTGGAGTGAGGGTACCTCGAGGGCCAGAAGAGGGCTAGAGCTCCTCTATGATAGACTTTAGTATTAGAGGACTTCGTTTGAAGGAGAGATTGTTGGGATGTATGAACAAAGTCCAACATTTACTAGAATTGTAGAGGATCAAAAACATATAAGTATGGTATAAATATGGTAGATATCTCTATTAATATGAGGAGCAAATAATATCTTACTAGTATGGAGATATAGTAAAAAGTCTATACTTATTATAACATTAAGCATAATGAATTTTTAGCTTTGTTTGAATAAGAAGTATTTAATTGTTTAAAACTAAAAAAATTAACACATATATGTAAATATTGGTTTGATCAAATCAAAGAAAAAGATTTTACAAATTAGCAATATATATTTTTTAAATAATTATTTTTATTGGATAAATTTTATGTAAATTTTATTAAATAATAAGTGGAATTCATATTATTTAATGTTTTTAGATTAATTGTGAAAAATATATTACTCTAGTAATTAATTATATATAATCAAATTTTTTATATTTAATTATATAAATAAAGTATTTTTGATAGGTTAAGTAAAAAATATTTTAATATTATTTTTATTTATTATCATTTAACCCTAAAAAAGATCAAAAGCAACAAGAAAAAAAATTTAACTAATCATTCTAAAAAATAAATCCCAAACTCACCGTCTCTTCACAAAAACTAAGCTAGGAGGGAGAGATTCTAAAAATAGGTTATTTTTAGGCACTTAATGAGCCTAATTAACTTAAAAATATGCACAATAGATGATTTCTCCACGTGATATAAGCTAACTATTATAATAAACTTAACTCAATTTCTCATCTCCTTGATGATAGGATAAAGCTTATGCCCTAAAGGAAATTTTGAATTAACTAAATGGATAGTCAATTTAGAATTCAATTCAACAATTATCCATTCTAGATTGAGACCTAATATTATATATATATATATATATATATATATATATATGGATTCTTTTTAAAAGAAAAAAAATATTCTATAGTATAAAATTATTTATAAGTGTTGATTTTATATTTAAAGGAAATTACGTTTAATGATAAAATAAAATAAAAAGTTAACTAAAAAATAATTTGATAGCTTTAAATGATATCTTAACACTTTTATGAAAACAATCACGAAAAGAGTGATAACTTAAACACGTTTTTTTCTTAAAAAAAAATGTGATTATCATAAAATTTAACGTGTATTTGGATACAAAATTCAATTATGTATTTAATAATTTTTATTAAATGATAGCTTATTTTATAGTTATTTAAAATATATTTTTGGTCTCTATTTTTATGAAATTATAATTTTAGTCCTTTAAAAATTATTCTTTTTATTTTGATCCTTAAATTTTCAAAATTCAATACTTATAAGCATTGGTGACTATGTGACCAATTATAAGATTGTTACTTATCAGTAATCATATTTTTGTGTTGGGACCACATCGGTTACGCGGAATCAAAATTATTGAATTTAAGAACAGAGACTAAAATTAAAAAGAATTTTTTTAAAATACTAAAATCAAAATATCGCAATACAGAGATCTGAAACATATTTAAGTATATTATAAATTTTAACATGAAACTATTTAAAATAAACTATTTTTTTTAAAAAAATTGCCTGAAGCTTGTAATAATTGCAATCTATTTTTGTAAGCTCAAATAATTTTGTTATAAACTCTTTCAAACACTTTTAATATTTATTAAATACACATTTAATAAATCTCAAATAAATTTTACCTGATCATCAATGGTATAAAAGTCTCAAAATGTATCTTATTAGCAATTCCTCTTACCATAATTCATCAAGAAGTTAAATTTTAAAATACTAAAAACTCAAATAATTCAATTCATATCCTCTTCTAAAAGTTTTTGTTTAGACGAGATAAAATAGTAGAGATTAAAAATTTGTTTAAAATTTTTTATAAATAACATAATTTTATAAGCTTTTTTTATCTTATTTCAATAGAATTTTTAGTATAATTTATCAAAATAAATTGATTTCAAGCTATTTTAATAAATTTTATAAATAAAAAATAACACAAATCATTATTAAAAATGTATTAAATAACTGCTTGATTGAGTTTTGTTTTCAAACACACCCTAAATATACATGATAGAAGTTAGAACCTATTTTTACTTGAAAAAAATATTTTTGTATAAATGTGATACTTGTAAAGAATAGAAAAAACAAAATGGATATTTGAGTCATTCAAGTCGGACCACTGTAGGCGGTGAGCTTTAACAGCACTAACAGACCAGTTAAAAAATATTAAATCTAATTTAAACTCAAAAATTAGCATCCACAATGAATAAAGTTTAATTATTTTTTTTAGTTTGCATTGGATTATCTTATAAGAGAAATTTGATCCGATTCAATTGTATTGTATATCATTATGTATCAGGGTTAAGTTTAAGGATACAAAACAGTAAGTTTTTAATATTTAAAAAAGTAGTAAATTTTTATTTAAAAATATATATTCATTATATTAAAGTTATAAAAATGTGATAAATTCAATTTTTAATGAAAATTTATTATTTTTAAGAACTTAAATTTAAACTTAAAGATCAAAGTTGCATATTTTTTATTTATTATTTTATCTTCCTTTTATTCATCAATATATCAACTGTCCACTTAAAATTTTATGACGGTAGAATTATATGGGCATCAAACATTTCTTTGTTTATTATGGTCATCAAACAGAGTTAGTTTCACATAAAATTTGAGTACGGATATTATACACAGGCCAACAATAATAAGAATTTATATATGATAATTTTATGAAAAGTGATAAAATATTATAAAATTTAATGCATTAGTATTGAATGTTATAATTTTTGATAACTTGTTTGTTGTCTTAAAGTTTTAACATGTGTCATTGAGTGCATTTTAAAAAAATTATTGAAAAAATAAGCATTCTTCATTTACATGTATTCAAAAAGTCAATAAATAAGAATAACTACTTCTATAATATGAATTAATCAAACGCAGTTATTTATTGCAACTCCTGAAGACTCAGGCCAGCCGTGAGGCGGAGTAAAATCACAAGTTAATAAATATTTTAATGCACGGGTTATTATTTAAAATAATTTATAATTGAAATTTTGCTGAATTTGAAATAATCTAGACTTTGAATTGGATTTATTTCATATGGAGCATGTAAAAAAAATTTAAAAAAATACTATTTATTTTGTTTGATAAACTATAGAAAATCAACTTATAATTTTTTATTAATTTTTTAAAAAAGTTACTTATTTAGATAAGTAATATTTAAGAGCTTATGATTAAAACCTATTGGATTATTTTCAAGTTAACTTTTATTTTTTAATTTTATTATTCATAATTAATCAATTTAAATATAAAACTAAATATTACACATAATAATTCATATCTTTTAGTAATTTCATCCTAAAAATGTGAAAGTAACTTTTACTTATTTTGAAGAGATTTATGTGTTTAATTTTTATAATAAGTGAATGATAGAATAATTTATGTATTGCTATTACAAATTATAATATATATTTATTTTATTTAAAAATTTAAAAAAATCATTTTACTTAATGTAATTAAAGGAGTAATCCAAGAAAAGGAGCAAATTTAACAAATATACCATTCAAAACAACCATATAAAAGATTTACTAATTAGTACAAACCAAAATTCATAACGGCACACTTTCGTTAATGTGCTTTTTTTTTTTTTTTTGTTGTGTATATACCAAAATGACATATTAAAATTAGTCCCTAAGCGTGAACTTCTTCCTCATAAAATGAAATTTTACTTTGATTAATAAGCAGAATTGACTATGCTCTATATTGATATATTAATTATAAGAGCAGTGTCAAACTATGTTTGAACCTAGTGTCTAGTTTAAAAATAACAATAATAATAAAAGGAGAAAGATCTTATACTGGTGTAAGTTTAAAAACTTTTACACTTGATTTAAACTTTTCATTTAACTTACATCAAACGGCTAGTGAAGTGTAAGAGTTGTTAAACTTACACTAGTGTAAAAAGATCCTGTTTTATAATAAAAATGTTTTCTTATTATAGAAGATGGCTAATTTTATAGGATTCGGATTGTCTCCAATTTGCATGGGAACTGGACATCCAGTCCATTTTTCGCTTAAGCAGATCCAATTCGCTTAAGTGAATATAACTGATTTTTGCTTAATTACATAAAAATAAATGGCTTGGACAAATTTTGCTATTCTCTATTAGTTTAAGCAGGAAAAAAAAAGGCTTAAGCAAACCATAGCTTAAGTAAAAAATGAACAAAGAGTTTTAATTTTTAGACATGCATCACGCTTAAGCAAATCAAACTGGCTTAAGCGAATTTTGCAAAATTGCTTAAGCTATTTATAATAGCTTAAGCGACAAGTGGACATAGAGCACTCATTTTCAGAGTTCAAAATAGCTTAAGCCACCAAAAATAGCTTAAACTAATCAAGAATAGTTTAAGCGAATGGTTTATTAGCTTAAGCTATTTATAATAGCTTAAACGAAATATGGATAAAGAGCACTAGTTTTTAAAGTTGATATTCGCTTAAGCGTAATGAGAATAGTTTAAGCTATTACAAAATATCTTAAGTGAAAGTATAATAGCTTAAGCGAATAAGGATAGCTTAAGCGAAATTAGGAATGTTAAGCGAATATTGCATAAATTGGGAAAAAAATGTATTAGAACTTAACAGAAGCAAATGCAATATATTATATTCATCCGATAATGTTAGAAATTGCATTTATGAAAGCAATTACACATAATTATAATTAACATTGTACAAAATACAGAAAAGTTACAAAATTCCTTAAAGTTGATCAAGTATTAAACAAGTTATGTCATCCAAAGGTTCCTACAAAAAGAAATAAAATTGGATAAAATATCAATAATCTTAGTAAGAAAAATAAGTTTGGTATTTAGGTAATTTTTGGATTTATATGTTTCTGAATATACCGTTAATAATATAGTAAAACTGAGAGTATTGTTGAAAGTGTGTGGAGAATGATAAGATGAAGGTGCCAAACAATGGACATCACATGGTTCAGAAGGAGTGGGTTGATATTTCTAAAAGCATTAACAAATTATTACACAAAAGACAAATAATAATGGACAAATTTTAAATTTTGATAGGTGCATTAATACATGTACCTCAACATTTTGCCTTTGGGATTGTCCTCTTAATGGACCAATTTTTTTTCTTTTTCCTTGTAGCTTAACCCAACTTTTGAATTGTTTATATCTATTCCTCTTCATACTTGGGCGGTGCTTGAAACTCTTTGGTTGTATACCATCATTGATGACTGATGTAAAGACCTCATCATTGTGACTTTCACCATGTTGCTCTTTTAATCAAAGTTATGTGATTTGATGAGACAGTGTTTACACATTCATCCATCAATTGAGAGTATTGTTCTGAACTAGATACCTCATATGCGAGTCAAATTATTTTAGAAGTTAGTTGTTGGTATCGTTTTGTGATAACAAGTGTAAGATCTCTTTGATCCTCTATACCTTTGATATTATGTATAATTCCAAAATGACCCTCTCTTGTCCATCTCTTAATGATGTATTTTTCAGGCACAATCTTGACATCATTTGCTTCAAAAACCTTCAATGCATGGGAACAAAGGATGCCAAATGTTTCAAATTTTTTACAAGTGCAACATGTAGAATTTGAGGTATGATCAAATGATTCTATCCATCGTTAACTATAGTTATGACATATTCAAACAAATGGGGAGATTCATTCCTTTTTTATATGTAGCATGCAAAAAATGAAGCAAACTCTTGTTGAAATAGGTTGAAAATAGTATGTGTGTTAATTTTATCTATTTATAATAGGATGGGAGACATCTCATATCTCAACATTGCTAGTTTATGGAGAGACTCATGCTCACAAACTAGCTTATTGTAATACTTGTCTCTACCACACATTCAAAGTATGCAAAGAACTGTTTAATGTTTACACCAAGCTTCATACAAGCCTTAAAATCAAAATTTACACTCTTACTTAGTTGGGTACTTCGCATCCCAAGTGCGAATACTTCCTTCATGTAGCACGCTGCCCATTTTTCCTTTATTCTATATATTGATTTCATCCAATTATTCTCAAAAACATTGTATTCCTCAAGAATACTTCTCCAAGCTTGCTCAAACTCACTCACTATGCCAATGTTATACATGCATCTTTTGAAATCTTTTAAAAAATGACTTCTGCCTTTCATCAAATTACCAAGGTGTTTGATTCCATTTTGCACCAAGTGTCACGTGCACAAAGCATGATGTGTCTCAGACATCACTTTGACAAGAGCTTTAGCCATTGCTTTATCTTGGTTAGTAAATATTGTTAACAACTTTTTCTAATTATGCACTTCTAAGAAAGTATCAAACAACCATTTAAAAGATTCAGTCATCTCATCATACAACAAAGTTGCACCAAAGATTACTGCACCCCTAAAATAATTAAAACTAGAGAACAATCCAAGGGGTCTATTTGCGCGGTTGGTGCAATATGTTGTGTCCAAGGAAACAACTTCACCAAAACATTGGTAATCTAAGCACATCTTTGCGACAACCCAAAAGACATTTGTTATTTGCTCATCCTCATCCATTTGGTATGCATGAAAGAATGACTAGTTGTCTAATAATTGTCGCTAAAAATATTGCATCAAACAACCAGCTTCTCCATACTCATTGTCTTCTTACATTTAGGTAATTTTTGGCATCCAACCTAGTGTAACCCACATTCACCTTATTGCCTACAAGTGTTGTAGCAAGTTGATATGATGACTTTTGTTGTAGATCGAAACTCTCAGTAATGCCAATCTCAAATGCTTGGACCAGGGTTATCTTACGATGTGAAACTGACATGTGGGTTATCTCTAAAACTTGTAAAGGGTGATTATGTTCTTCTACAAACTCATGTATAACAAAATTTTTGTTCTTTCCCAAGGACACTCCAATTCGAGCATAACAATTCGTCCTAGTCTCAGCTCTATGTTTTACAACTTGTGAATCTCTTTTATCTCCTTTCCAAAGTCCTTCTTTACAACAAACATATTTATAACTTGTGATAGCACCATTTTTTCGCTTATTGAAGTATTGCTTTCTAATGCCAAAACCCTTCCTCCTACCATATTCACTCCAAAACTCCCATGCTTCATCGACACTTTCAAACTCTAAGTCAACACCTGGCTTCCATCTGTCACACATTGTTAACATATTTTCTTAAACAAAAATGTAAATCAATAGTTTTTAAAATAACATAACTTTTTGTCAAATCATTTTGTAATATAATAAAAGAATTAGTTGAAGATGGAAAAACACACCTAACATGAATAAGTTATTATATGTAGTGGGGAAAAAGATGTTAATGCTTGCTGGATGTAACGCCCCAAATTTTGTAATATAGTTTAATCATTAATATAAGTGTTTACGTAGACTTTCATGTGTTATTATTAATTATTATATATATATATATATATATATATATATTGGGTGATGAGATTACATGTGTATGCTGGAATCATACTGAAATTTGGCTAAGTGTTTTAGTGTAAATGTTCTCGCTGTAGCGAGAGATGTCTCATTGTAGCGAGAGGGCCTAGAAGAAAGGCATGAAACTGTCACCTTGTCGCTGTAACAACAAAGCAATAGTTTGGGGTACATCTTTTGGTGCAATCTCACTGTAGCGAGATTCTGCAGAAACCAGGGTGCAGTTTTCTCTGATATTTTCGCTGTAGCGAGAAAGGGTGTCGTTGCAGTCAGGGGACTTCGCTGTAGTGAGAGTATCTTATTGTAGCAAGAGTGTCGCGATCAGAAGAGGATTTAAAGGGGTTAGGGTTTAGGGAAGGGTTATTTCTCACTTTTCCGTCGAGATTTCTTCAATTCTCTCACTTCTAAACCCTATTTCACCAATTAAATTGCCTCCAAAGTCGTTCGTGAGCTAGATTGAAGGTTGAATTTGTGTAGGGAATGCTTGAAGGTGAGTTTACATGGTTAGGGTTTATGATTTCTCATTCCCACTCACTATTTTCTAGGTTTTCTTGGGTTTTTATGGGATTTTTCCATGTATTTAGAGTCAAGTTCGTGTGGGAGAGTGCCTACCTTGTTGAATTGGTGTATGGGTCTTTATTTGAGGTAAGAAGGGACTCTACTCTATCTCATTTTTGTTAGATTTCGTTTAATTACTATGTGTGACCATGTGATTGAGATAGGAGGTCGGAATATGTATGTTTTGATAGGGTAATTTGATTGTGGTTGAGTTGTTATGCTCTTGATTTGTGAATGTGGATTACGTTGAATGTTGTGTGCATAAAATTATTACACGTTAAATGCAACGCGAATAGGTGTGTGCATTTGTGCCGTGTAATATGAATGAATGTAGGATTGAGTGTAATGTACAGATATGAATATTGTGTACAATGAAAATATGTGTGAATGAGGCATGCTAAATGCCATTGTAATGATGTTGTGGATGGTTCAACGATACACTGGGGTATGAAAGATGGGGATGGTAGAAATACGTTGGGGAAGAGAGAGTGGTGGTGACACTAACAGTGAGCGTGGGTGCACTACAGGCCACACACTCTCCTCTTAATTAGATCCCTGACCAATACCTTTGTTGAATGACCCGTGACTACCCACGCGGTATCCGTGAGGCGGGAGTAATCAGCGACCATTCATGGTGTGAAACTGTGATCACAGTGCCACAATGAGCATGACTAGATGTGGGATAAGCGCACGTGTATGAAATGTTGGTGCAGTGAGTGCACCTGTTGTGTTTTGAATTAGAATAGTTGATGAATGATGATTATGACTGAGATTGAGATGCTTATATTATGGTTGCATGATTTAAAATATGATTAGTAAACGTGTAGTAGTTGAGGTGAGTCTCTATGTTTATGGGTGTTGGATAGTGTAGAGTACTCACCCTTACATTTATTTTTCAAGTGACCAAGATGATCAGCATCGAACTCAGTGAAGGAAGGATGAACTGCTATAGGACTTAGATTGTATTTTTGAAATTATGATGTAATTGAATTAGTCCTGTAGCAGTCTTTGATATAAACTTGTAATCCTTTATTGTTTGAACTGTTTTATGAAACTCTGTGATGGGATCTTTTATTTAAATGAAAATTTTATTATTTCCATTTTGTGAAATAATTAATTGAAAATTAATTTAAGGTGTTACACTGGAAGTATGCAAAATGCCCCCTAAATTATGTATGCAGATGAAGTTTTGTATCCCTAACTCTGAGTTTAATGTTAATAAAGAGAAATGAGTGGATTTGGCTTTTCTTGGATTATACATCAATCTTACTCTATTTGCACGCCAAAATATCAATAATTTAGCTTAAGCAATTTAAAATCGCTTAAGCTAATATTTTTGCTTAAGCTTTTTTTTTAGCTTAAGCTATTATCAAAAGCTTAAGCAAATTGGGAAAATCTAACCATTAACTCAAGATTTAAAAAAAGTTACTTCCTCTTTCACATTTCATAACACCTACATTTCATAACACCTAAGTATTGTTTCAGAAATCTCCTTCATTCCCCACGTCACTATCTTCACTTGCATTTCTAAAAGCTCCTCCTCTCCTTCATCCTTCCTCTCTTATTAAAGTATTGTTCAGGTTTCATCTTCTTCATCTTCTTACCATTGTGCTTTTTTGAAAATGGACACCCAATACCTCTGTCCTAGGCATTTTCTATGAATCTTTTAATAGGATTTTAGGTTTTGTGGTTAAATTTAAAACTATGATAGGCCTATGCTTTAATATGAATTATAATGGTTTAAAAATGAAAATAGGTGCTCTATGTCCTTGGAATAAGGTTTTAGGTTTTTTTCTTCACTCAAAAATTATGTTATTCTATGCGTTATTCTGGATTATAATGGTTTAAAACTTGGGGTTGAGAGTAGTTGTTTGTGATTTCTTGTCTTTTGTGTATTTTTGCGTCTCTGTAAAAAAATGCTTAATCCCTTTTATTTTGCTTAAGTGGATAGTATTCGCTTAAGCAAAATTCTTTGCTTTAGAAAATATTGCAGAATTCTTGATGCATTTTGTTTTATTTATTTTACGTAATTTTTTAGAAATGGCACCAAAGAAGATCCTTCCTCAAAGGAAGAGGCAACGTTCTAAAGTGGTAGGGTCTGCCTTAGAGGATAATGAGGGCATAGGTAATCAACAACAAACACCAAGCAGTCCCACTTTTGGTATTGGGTTTGACAGATTCAAGTTCAAGACTCGTGCCAAATATGAAGGGTTCCTTCATTTAAAGCCTAAGGAATTGTTGGCAGAAAGAAATGTGCAGTTGCAAGAAGCAGAATTCACAGTTTAGCCAAGAAATTTCTAGAAGGAAATGAGATTTATTGGCTAAATTTCTAATAGGATTAATGCAGACATAGTGAAAGAATTATATGCCAACGCATGGCCACTGAAACTAGATCAAACTGACAGGACTTCCTGGGTTCATAGGTGTTTAATCTCATATGATAGGGAAGCAATCAACAACTTGCTGGGAAACTCCCCTTACCTTACAAGAAGGGGAGTTATGCCATTACTAGCAAAAGAAAAATAGCTTTATTGGATTCTTAGATCACAAGGTAGCTTAAACATTGTGCATTCTGGGCAAATCCTATGAGACAAATCATCAAGGCAAGCCATTGAGGTTCAAAAGGGAGAGTTTGAAGACCTTAGCTCAGATTTAGACCTTCTTTTTGTTTGCCAATATTGCCCCAACAACTCGCACATCAAACCTCTGCATGCCTCGTGCCTACCTTATATATAGCATCACGAAAAGAATCACCGTGGATATTGCCATAATTGCATCTGACAAGATTTACCAATTTTTCATCTCAACTCGCTCTCATACTGCAATTGCCACAAAACTCTTGGAATTTTCAGCACTTATCACTGCTCTTTATGCTACCTAAGGTGTTCCAATACCAAATCGGGCTTCATTGACCCATAAACTAAAAAATTCCATCAATGCCCAATTCATCAATAATTATTATATCAACGAATTGGAACAGGGAAATACAGCTTCTCAACCTTCTTCATCAGCATCACCAACAACATCACCGCCTACTCATAACATGACACCCATGGAGTGTCGCCTCACACAACATCTAATTGAAATACAACATCATATATGGAAGTCAATCATCAAGCTTATACCCACATTCACCACCAGATAGCAACAAACCATTGAACATATACACATCTCAATGAGTCATTCTACCATTTTATCCTACACTAACACCAACAAGACACTTCAACATTCCCATGGCCAACACTTGAAGATTTTGCAACACATGTCTCATGGCCTGGAGACACCCCCTTCATTCCCAAATCATCCCAACCAATGTGAAGTGTTTCCTACAAATGAACAAGGGCAAGTAGGCGCTGATGAAGGGGTCACACAAGAGTCTCAAGAGGAAGGACAAGGTCAAGAGGTAGTGGGTCATCAAAAGCAGCATAACATTGAGCAAGAAGATCAAATTCATGATGATGTTGTTGTTGAAGAATAAACATTTCTTTTATTTTCTATTTTCCTTGTTTTATTAGGCATATTTAACTTGATGTTTAATTTTAGTTTTTTTTCCCAATATTTTTTGTTTCAAGGCATGTAATGTGAAAAACTTGATGTTAGAAATTTCTATTTATACTATAAAAATATCATTGTCTCTTAAATTTGATTACATTTACTCATATTATGCTATAGCTTTGATGACCAGTTTCTAATATGCATTGTTGTCCAATTTCTGCACTTGTTTAAGCATTCCAAATATTAAAATATGATTGCATTTGCTTCTATTAAGTTCTAATGCATTTTTTTTTCTAATTTCTGCAATATTTGCTTAAGCATTCCTAATTTCGCTTAAGTTATCCTTATTCGCTCAAGCTATTATACTTTCGCTTAAGCTATTTTGTAATAGCTTAAGCTATTCTCATCACACTTAAGCGAATATCAACTCTAAAAATTGGTGCTCTCTGTCTCTTTTTCGCTTAAGCTATTAAAAATAGTTTAAGCTAATAAACCATTCGCTTAACCTATTTTTGGTGGCTTAAGCTAATTTGAACTCTGAAAATGGGTGCTCTTTGTCCACTTGTCGCTTAAGCTATTATAAATAGCTTAAGCGATTTTGCAGGATTCACTTAAGCTAGTTTGATTTGCTTAAGCGTAATGCATGTCTAAAAATTAAAGTTCTCTGTCCATTTTTCATTTAAGCCTGTTATTTTCGCTTAAGCTAAGATTCACTTAAGTCTTCTTTTTTTTTTCTCGCTTAAGCTAATAGGGAATAACAAAATTCGCCCAAGCCATTTTTTTGATGTAATTAAGCGAAAATCAGCTATATTTACTTAAGCGAATTGCATCCACTTAAGTGAAAAATAGACTGGTCGTCTAGTTCCCATGCAAACTGGAGACAATCTGAATCCAATTTTATGACACTTCAATAATTTTTTCTTTAAATTTATTTAGTATTTTATAGTCACACATAATTGCTAATATTTTAATTTTAATTATTTAGTTTGTATATTTTGTGTAATATATTAATTTATTTTATCATTTTGTAAAACTAATCTTGTATACTTAAATTAGATGTTACAAAATCATCTCTAATTTTTATTTTTAAATTTATTTTTTTTATTAAAACTATAATACATATATTATATCTTACTCTATAAAAAATCTCTTAATTTCAAATTCTATGTCCAAAAGCCAAGTCAAGAAAGAGTACATTAATTCCTCAATTAATTAATTTTATTCAAAAATCATACATTTTAAAATATATATATATATATCTCTAATAAATACATGTAAGATTAGATTAAAGTATTTCCTTATATGTATAAAAATAAAAAACTTAACCATGCATCCAAGATAATCATATTAAATATAAGTTACACAAACGCATTTCTTTTTTAAAGTCTTCTGCTACAATTCTTTTAATACTTAGCTGGTGTTGTCCCATAGAAAATAGATAACTTCTATTATAAACCCTTCCGACATAAATTCAAATTAATTGATCCATTCTCCTCTTGTAAAATCAACTTTTGTTCATACGATTTAAAAAAATAATATTTGTTCAGACCATCTCTCAAAATCTTATACATACAATAGTATGAAACACAATCCTTCAATCTGATCTATGTTTTAATATTATCATATGGATGAGAATTCTGTGATTATTTCTATTTAGGCATTGTGTTTTTGTTAAATTGACAGAATTAATAACTGTTAATTTTAATATATAAATCAACAATAAATGGTGAGAATTTTCGTGATAATATGTAGTATACCAACCTCTTTATATAATATGCTTTTCACCGTTCCATTACATCTTCTGTATTCGTGTCTTGCATGTTTCATAACATGTTGAAAACATTAGATTTATTTTTGGTGAATAAAACCATAAAGTTTGAAACCTTATGGGATGCATCAAAAATATTTTGAGTGTTATGAAGCATATTCCACCAATTTCATACTCTTTCCTATCATCTCTCGCAAAATTAAGTTTGCATTTAGAAAAAAGTCCAGAGAGCCAGCGTTAATAATTGGATTGTCTGGTCAGAACCAGTGAAATAAAACAAAATTAAAAGCAGTGTACCTGCATGCAGATCCTTGTGATATACGTGTAAGTAACTTCAGCACAAATTATGTATAAAGTTACATACAACAACACTCTTGCTTGTTCACTTTACTTAATTAAATACATACAATAAAAAAACAGAAAGAGTGATGAATTGGGTCATATTAATTGATTGAAAACATGTTCAAATTTTATATGAATGAGAAAATTAATTTATAGGTAAAAATAATAGAAGAATATAACATTTTTTACTTGATGGTTTATTTATTAAAAAAATTCTCATTTGAGTCTTTAATATTATAATTTGAATGTATTCCAGTAGGTATTCTTGTAAATATCAACGAGGCCTAACAGCCTAGGAACAAAACCATGGCAAAGCTAGGTGTGAGCAAATTTAACAGCATCTATAATATGAATGTTGAAACTGCATAGAGTGAACAGTATGGAAGGGTGAAAAACTAAAGAGGGAAAGGGTTGAAATTGAATGGTAGTTTTCCTTGTGAGTGTAAGGAGAGTTGGTTGGTTCAGCGAGGTACCCGGGAGCAATTATTTGCAATTACGACTCTGTCACTTCTGAGTGGTGTAAGTGTAACAGCACCCAAAACACCACAAGACCCAGTTCACCATGGGTCCCATTTTTTATTTCTGACACCTTCTCATCATTTTCATACGCAACATTCAAATAAACAATTTTTATTTCATTCCTTTTATAAAAATAATTATTTTATTTTTTAACATTAATACAATAATTACATATCATATATTTATATTATATGTTTAAAATGTTATATTATTAAATAATTAAATTAAATTAAAAAATTAATATTCACTTATATGAATTATAAATTACGTCTTTCATTTGTTTTAAAAATAGTCATTTAAAACTGAGGAATAAAAGCTAAAAAATATATTTAATTATATTTTATTAATAATATCATAAAATTTTTTATCATACTTATTTAAAAATTTATTTGTATAATAAAAAATTAATAAAATTTAAAATAATTATTATTTTAAAGAAGAATTAAAAAGTTATTTCAGAATTATAAAATAACTATTATTTTTAAAAAATAAAATTAATTTAAAAAATTCAAAGACAGAAGGAGTAGAATTTTATTAACATAAACTTTATAACAAATAAAAGTATAAAATATTAACAACTGATGTATTTAAAAGTTAGTATTTATTTTTATAATATAAATAAGAAAGATTGGAAAAAGTATTTTTTAATATTAAAAAATTTAGAACTGTTTCTTTTAAATGTCTCATAAAAAATAATATATAATATTTTCTTTTTGTTTTAATTATAAGAAATAAAAAAATTCATTTATTATAATATATATGTTAAAAATATAATTATTTATTATTTATATAAATAAATATATTTAATTATTTAATTTAATATATAAATTATTATTTATTGTTGGTGAAGAATTAAGTGTTTTGATCGTATAAAAGACATCCAAGGAAATATTACGATCACAATTTTCTATTGTGTGGCTGACTTGATGAACAGTGAATAAGAAATAATAAAATCAACAGTTTTTTTTTATTTTTAAAGATATTAATTAAGAAATAAAATAATTTTATTAATATATTTTAATATTATTTAAAACATATTTATTCAATGTTTAACTAGGGTGTGGTCAATAATACTAGTTAAAGAATTAATAAATAGTATTATTAAAGAAATGCATTAAAAAGTATTAGAACAAATACACTATTAACATTAAATAAATACCTTTAAATATTAATTAACATTTTTAATCAATATCGTTAGAACACTAATCAACGGCACCCTTATATTATTAAAGATAATACGTCGCAATTCTAGTGTGGGAGGATAATAATTGATAGTGACTGCACTGTTCATTTATGTTGGGAGTAGGAATATGTGTTAATCTAATAGTAATTTCTACAAATTCTCCTACTTATCAAATGAAGACAAAAAAAATTAAAAACATTTTATGGTTCCATATATTAAATATATTGATATTTTTATTAAATACTTGCTTAATTAAATATTAATAAAATTAGTACGAACAAATTAAAAGATGACATTACTCGTTTCATTAATGGCCTCTGTGGCCATTAGTTCGGATCTCTAAGGCAATCAATATCTTTTACTAGTAATTCGGGAGTAAGTATCCCTCATTGAAGCTTCCTGCAACGCCATTCATATTCTCACAAACCAGCTTCATTATTATTATTATTAAAATAATGATATATTGAATAGTTTTTTTTAATTCCATTATATTTTTCATAAAAAGTATTTAAGATTAAAAATATTTATATATAATTTAACAATCTAACAATAAAATATTTATCTAAATTTTATCCTAAACTCGTAGAGTATTCAAAAGTGTGTTTATTGTTAATATCACGTGTCTTTTAATATTATTTCTATTTCAAAAAAAGTTATGTAAAATCAGAAGCGATAAAATAAGTTATTTGGTATATTTAGAGTAGTTTAGTGTGGATTAAACTTTAGCAAATTAAGATAAAAAAAATAAATAAATCTAATTTGAGCTTACCCAAAAAAACAAATAAATTTGAATATATATATATATATATATATATATATATAACTTTTCACAGACTTAATTCGTATAAACTTAATCAAATTAGACTAAAAATTTAATTTAAACTTTAAATTTTATTAAACGCATTTGTTTCAATTTAATTGAAAATTTTCATTTTATTAACTTTATATAAAATACTTCCGTTGCTAATATAATTGCAAGAAAATATTATTTTAAAATTACTTAAACAAAAATAATAATAAATAATTTAAAGCCGTCGTTGATACATTAAAAGAGAAACTAATGTATCAAACTTGGTCGTAGAGAGTGATGTGACAATGCAATTTGATTATGCATGCAAAAGTTGTTCTTAGTTTAGACAAATTCGTATGCCCATAATGAGTTGCAACCATATTCTATGGGAATCTATCAATGGACAGATCTAACAGCATTTAGAGCTGTGGATATGTATTTTTTTATTTCCAAAGTGGACCACTTTAGACTATACATCATGTGGCATGAGGTAACCCATCATTCGTGGATAATTAGTTTTATATTATTATGTAGAAAAATGTTTATGAGTCAGTTTATTATGACAAAATTTGTTAAAATAATCTTACTAAAGTACAAAAGAATCTGAATAGAAAAGATGGTACAGAAATCTTGTTTCATCATCAGAACAGATTAAACAACATCATGTAGAGTAAAGCCACAACTAGCCAGGGATTCCCGTGACACTTAAATGTGCACAAAAGTTAACAACCCCCTCATCCCTTTTTTATTTTCTTGCTATAATAACCTGCCAAACAAAACCTCTGCTACACTCTTTCACCCCTCACTCGTGCCATCACTTCACCAAGTAGAATAGTGCTACTTCTATTGTTCATTTTTGGATATATCAAGCATAAGGGGTGTTAAAAGAGACAATGCAAAGTGCAGGGTCATTGTTGAAACAGTTGAGTGTGAAGGAGGCTTGGAAATCAACATCAAATAGATGGAGTGGGAAGGACAAATATAACAGTGTTGGGGGAGGGAGCTTTGATGGGTGTGAGGCAAGTTTGAATCAAATGGAAGGTTTTGCAATGTATGGGAATGAAGAAAATGGGATGATGGTGAAGAAGAGAGTGATGGTGGTGGTGGATCACACTTCCCATTCCAAGCACGCAATGATGTGGGCACTTACCCATGTAGCAAACAAGGGTGATTTGCTCACTTTGCTTCATGTTGTCCCTCCTCATAGTGGATCTGACTCTTCTTGTTCTGCCTATCTTGTCAATCATCTTGGTTCCCTTTGCAAAGATTGCAAGCCAGAGGTATATTCCTAAGTTGTAGTCATTCATATTAACATAATAATAACATGTTAATCTTAACTTCCTTTTTTCAATTTTTTTTTTCTTTTTGCATTCATTGATGGGAGGGATGGCCATTGTGCTTGGTAGATCCTTTATTCAAGTTGTTCTTGACAATTCAACAAGATGGAAGTAGGAAGTTTCTTCTTTTTCTCTCTCTTTATTAAAAAATATTAGTTCAAAGTAAAATCTTTTATTAAAAAAATATAAAAATGTAATCTTTCAGAATTTTTAATGTATTATTATGCAATTTTAAAAAAAGTATTTCTTTTGCCCACTATGTTATAAAGCTTTTTCTCTTCTTTAGAGGGAAAAGGATCTGAGATTCCTGTATTATTCGGGTCTTTTAGTTTCACTTTCCAGAGATTAATAATGAGAATGCTTATATGATTCAGTTTTTCTATGCGCACTACCGCTCAGAAATATAAAAAATTATTGAATCTGCCTTGGCCTGACATAGGTGGAAGTGGAAGCACTTGTAATCCAAGGACCAAAACTGGGCACAGTGTTGAGCCAAGTGAAGAAACTAGAGGTCTCTATCTTGGTATTGGGCCAAAAGAAGCCTTCTCCTCTTTTAAGCTGGTGAGATTCTAATTACCCATCCTTTAAAGCAATTTTCAACTCTCAAATGTCAATCCTCCAACTCTGTAAACATTTTTTTTCTTTGGATTTTGCTATGGTATAATGTGGATTAATAATAACCCTTAGAACGGCAAGATTGTTACGAATTATAGATTTAATAACAAATTACTTTCACATTCTTTGAAGGTTAACGAAATTTCATTTAATATTTATTGTTTTTCACTATTTTAACCATCATTTATATAATTATATAAGAAATTAGGAGAGAATTACTTTATCGAGAGAAATATATGATATTATTTTATTATAAAAAATTAAAAAATTGTGTAAGGTTAAAGAAATAAATGGTAGAGTAAAAATTTATCATTTCTTGGAGGGTAATTGTAATTTATCAGGTTCAAAGTCTTTCTCAATCAAATTAAATATCTCTATTTTAAATTTAAATAAATTTAATTTTTTATTTAAATACTTAGTTATGATTGATTATTATTTGAGATATGAAATAATAATTTTAAAGTTTAAAGTTTGAAAATTAACTAAAATTTTGGTAAAATTGAAAAGGTGAAATAGGATGTGAGATTAAAATTTATGAGGAGATTATATATTTTTATTTTAGGTAAAATTTAACATTTTAGTAGACATTTTAAAAAATAAAATATCTAACACGGATTAATTAATTTAATTTATAAAAAATTAAATGAAAAATTTAAGTTAAAAATAAAAAATATTTTTAAGTAGAAAAAATGTGATAAACTTATTTGTAACAACCGAAAAAATTGAAAAACTAATTATTGAAAGACTAAAATTATACATTAATCATTAAAAAGTCAAAAGTATAACTAAGTATAAAATATATGTACATTTATAATAATTTTGTCTTATATGCATATAATAAACAGTTTGATTATCTTTAACCTTTATGATTGGGATTAAGCATCTAAACTAAACAATCCATGCTTCGTCCTCCGAAATGCAACATTCACCATAAAAGAGGCAAATCTTACTTTCATGACCCAACTCAGCTTTAAAACGCTTCAGTATTTGAAGTTTAATTAGAAAATTATGGCAGCTTGTGTGGAAGCAACAGTAGCAGCAGCTCAGAGGAGTTTGCCGAGCACTGCATCAACAATGCAGAATGCTTGACAATAGGAGTGAGGAAGAGAAGTCAAGGCACCAATGGCTACCTCATCAGCACAAGGTGGCAGAAGAACTTCTGGCTATTGGCTTAGATCTTCTCAATAGTTGCTACTTAGAATCTCACAAAAGGGAACATTAACACAATAACATCAATATGTACCCTCGCTTCTAGTTCTAACTACTACTAATGAATTTAATTTCATAATATTACTAGTATCTTATTATTGATTGAACATGATTATCACTGATATTTTCTTTCCTCTTTTTTTATTTAGTGTAGATTATTTAAATGAACATACGGAATGGTAAGACAGCTATTAAAATGTTTTCAGTGAAATCATATCCACATGGACCACCACCCCCACCTATACAGACGAAGGACCACAAGGCAGGAGGTAGAAGAAATCAATTACATTAGCATTAAATGCTAGCACTCTTTTTTATCACCGTAATAACACGAAACCTATACAAATAGGAGTCACCTATCATTAACAACTAACGACTAGCAAGTAAAATCCTACGACTCTCCCTCCGGTCTAGTAGGAAAAATAAAAATATATGCATTTTCTAAATAGAAAGAATCCTCAAACATAAGATACTCTTATGAATTAAATAATGTATTTCATTTCATAATACTTTATATAACCCACAACATATGATAGTAACAAAAATGTTGTCAATGGAGACTTTGGGATTAAGTTATTTTTGTTAATAACGATCAATATTGGGATTAAGTGTTAAGGGGTGGTGAGATTCAAACTTCATTCTTACCCCTGTACTAAAACAACTCTGCAAATAAAAAATATTCTCTTCTGCGAATTACATACATCAAGCAGTTCTTCACGGCATTAGTGCTGAATACTAGCAACCAATTAATGTTATCTGTGATTTTAGCGCAAAATAGAAGGTTGTGAACAGTTTGTTAAATGTATATTCAGCTTTGTCCATTAAATTCTCTTTTTTTTTTCTTTTTTTTTCAACTTTCATTCATTTCATTTGCACCTATAAAATAAAATTTTGCTGACCAATCCCTCAACAATTTGATTAAAGAATCATTAAATATATATTTTTTACTAAAAATCATGACATTACTTTAAAAATCACAAGAAGATAAATTAATGACATTAACTTTTCATTTTTTATTCCTTAATCAAATTCCTAAAAACACTTATTAGCATTCTCTATATAAACAATTAGGATTATTTGACCGCTGTCTACAGCTTTGATTGAGGATTATTACCTATGGATCTTGATTAAGGAACATCTATATCTTTTATTAATTTTAATTCGTTAAAGTAACAAATATTAAATTACAAATTTTTAATTATAATTTTTTTCTTTTAAATATTTTTAAAAATTTTTGACCAATTATCAATATTTATATATAAATTGTAAATATTAATTCTTGAACGAGAGAATTTTCAAAACGAATTCTTAAATAAGAACACTTAAGTATTACTTGTTTTTTTTATCATACAAAGTAATTTTTTTTAAATTGTATTCTTTTTAATTCAATATTAATTTTATTTTTTTATAATTTAATTTTAATGTTATTTGCATTATAATTTAATTTAATTTAAAAATATGCTGCGGTCATATCAGGGTCATATCAGGAAACAAAATAGAAAAAATGGAGACATAAGAAGTTATATCAGACCAAAAAAGGGGAAAGATGGCTTCAAAAAAGAACTATTAAAACTGTGGGGATAAGGGAATCTAACGCAACAAATAATCAAGGTCACTTTACTTATATACTTTTTCTACCTTTAGCTATCACTGCCCATCCAAACAGCAGAAACCTCATTCGTAGCCTAAACCAATTAGACCTTATCATCTAATTTGTCATTTACAAGGAAGCAATTCCATCTTACTTCTAGGAGTTCTTGGTGTCCGAGGAGTTCCTGGAAGTGGTGGCTGTTGGGAGAGCAAATGCCTGACATAACCATAGAATGTGCATCCAACAAGAGTCACGGCACATCCAACAGCATTTAAATATGATATTGGGTTCCTAAAAATTAGCCAAGAAACTAGGACAGCAACAGCAACCTGTACAAAAAGCATGATTATAGTCAATTGGTAAATGCAGGATAACGATGATTTAAGACGTCAGTTTGGTTTCACCATTCACACACCCCCGTCAATCATACTATCCTGGCATCAATAATCCAGTCAGTTCCATTATTTGAACATAAAAAAAATTAACCTCTATTTCTCACTTACTTTTTATCTTTCTCATATGCACATATCTCAAAAATACACCCTAAAATCAAAGGGACAATCTTTTGTTGTTCCATTTGTGTATAAGAAACATTTTCCTAATCCTGTGGTGCACTTTACATACAAGATTAAAGTTAGTAATACACTATCTATCACAATGTTTTCAACACAGTCCTTGCTATTGGATGGAAGTTAAGTGAGTCCCACCAAAGGATGTGGATTCCACTTAAGGGATTATTAACAAGGCAGAATGAAACAGAAAAAGTGCATGTTATGGGAACAAGGATAATATTGCCACAGTTTCTCCAGATATTATATTGGAAAATATCTAGAGTTTCAGAAATAATACATGAATTGAACTGAATGAACAAAAATGATGAATCTGAAATCTGAATGTTACGACAAAATAATATAGTAGCTTGAAGCATTTGAATCTCCCTGATAGATCTCACCTTAAGGTTTCCAGCAACATTAAATGTTACAGCAGTAGTGGAGTGAATCACATAAAAAATAGAGAAGTTAAGGCAGAACGCCAAAACCCCAGAGCTGAAAATAATGATCAGGGCCGACCAAGAATATGGATGAGTACTTAACCACTCAAGAACTCCATTTCCTTCAAGTAACATAGCAGGTATTGCCAAGATCATGGTTGCAAAAGGTGCCATGTAATAAACTGTGTTTATGCTAAAAGTACAAAACAAGAAGAATTAGCCTATGCGGCAGCAGAAAAATGATTCCTAGGTAATTCAGAGATACCTACACAAGCACAAAATAGAACAAGGTATAGTATAGCTAAAGACTAAAACCAGTGCAGTAATAAAAGGAATAACATCACCACTTACTCAGCAGAAACACTTTTCTTTTAAAATTAATGCATAAAAGAACGCACAAGAAAAAAAATGTTGAAAACTTAACACCAAAGTGGATTTTGATCGGAAATTCTTCCATAGATAATCAACACTGACAGCCAAACTATTAACTACAATAGGAAAGATTTTCATACTCCTTCAAGTATTAATTGAAACCTTTGGAAGCTAGTTGACACAGAGAGCCAAAGTAAGACCCCACATCTTGTATAATCTCTCTTCTTTCTTTCAGTTGAGTAATTACGAGAATGTTCCAGATATCAGTCCACTTAGGATACATTACTTGGAGAAAAGGAAAAATAGAAGTATTATCAACAAGTTTCTAGCACAACTAATATCAGCCCAAGTTTTAAGAATCTTGAGAATGAGGTGGATGTTGGAGGTTCAGTCCTTCAGGACCTTACCCCTCCCCACCTCAGGTGCTTGACCCAATGTAACTCGACAAAAAAAGGACAGAAGCATACAAAAGCATGATATAAACACAACAGCCTGGCAATTATTAGTTAGTGGTTATGTAAATGGTAGGATGGCATATTTGCTCCAATGCATATATCCATATCATGAATATCAAAAGCTAGCATAAAAAACACAAAAGGATAAAAACATCATTTTGTAGTAGGTTATCTTATCATAAATGCAGTTGGGTATGTTGATCAAAAAGGATAAATGGAAAAATATAAAGCTTGGGCAGTTGACTTTTATTAAGTATACATCCAACTATCCAACGGAAACAAAAAGATGGACCGCAGTTATTTACACCAGCCATTCTGGTTCTTGTACAAAAAATATCACCCATTTTAACAGTGCTTATGGCTACAAATAATGCATATGCAATTCTCCTATCTAGAGTGCAAAATCATTCCTGATCTACTTTAATCTTATCATATAAATAAACAACTTGTTCTATTAAAAACAAATTCACTAGAAAGAAGGTTGTAACTAAACACACATATGGACAGATCAGGAGTCAGATTAAGGAACTTCCTAGTTCTAAATTTTGTCTAACATGCATCAGGTTCGATGCTTGATGGACACTGGTAGCAGGTGCTGTTATCAAATTTAGCAGCAAGGTAGCTAAAAATTTTCTACGCAAATGTATTAATTGACTCAATGTGGGGATTGAAAACCTACTGTCCACCAGAAGGTGGCATTGCAGACCCATAAATAACACAGAAGTCTACCCAGGAAAAAAAGACCAATAATAAATTACAAAATACAAACAGTAAAGAAAAGGCAAAGCATGAAAATCTCTACCTGTCAAATTTGTATCCATGCAACAGAGACTCTGCAAGGATAGTCTTTGTAGACGTAGCCAAACAGCCAAACAAGGCAGCACAAAACCCAAATACATTAAAACTAAGCTCTGTAACAGACGTGAGAAGAATTCCTCCAACAATGGGTACAAGAGAAGCCCAAATACGCCAGTCAAAATATTTCCTCCACACTAGCCACTGCAAAACAACTGCACAACTTGACCAAGATCAGATGAAAATGCCCTTCAAATCACAACATAAACACAAACATTGAATCTTACCTGTTGTTGCAGGAGTGAATGACTTTATTGTCTGCATAAAAGAAACCGGTATGTATCGTAGGCTCACATTCCCCAGCACAATGTTAATACAGAACACAAATGACATGGGAAAGATTCTTCTCCAGCGATCTTCAGGGTCAACATGTATCAGCGGTTTAAGCTTCAGCACCTTAATCACCACATACCCTCCAATGGCTGAGCAGATAAAGTGGATACAGGATACTGACAGTGGAAACTTGAAATCCAATTTCTGCAAAAGAGAAAATAAATTAAATTTAAAGAATTTGTTATAATTCATATAAATTTTTCACATGATGGTTAAGAGGCCAAGTTGAGTACTAATAAAGAAACATAAATTAAAGATGATTGATAAACCTATACCCTCACAAATGGAACAAGAACGTAAAAGATCTATATAATCTGGGGATCATAGTAGAAAAAAAAAAACTCATTGTAATAAAAATTAAATAAAAAACTCATTCCACACGTCAATATGATAGTAGAAACTTTTCTAGAAACTTCTTAGCACCAATCTTGATTAATTCATCGTAAGGACACACTAAATATGTTCTGGTTCATCAAATTCAAGAAATTCACACACACACGCAAACACAAAAACTTTTCTACTTCAATATGTAGTGTGGTGCAAAATTTGGGTAAATAAATTATATCTAATCAAAACTCCAGAGATCAGAGAATTATTGGGATTCGAATAAATAAAATAAAACTCTTGAGAAATAAATAAATAATATAATTCCTCGTTGTTTTGGAATAAAATTACGTAAAAATGATTAGATTTAGAATAATTTAAAAAAGGTAAAACAGATTTGGGAGAGGAAGAAGGAAATGAAGTGTGAACCTGGAAGATCCACTTGTTCATGATGATAACAGTGACATTGAAACCCCACCATTGAAGGATTGCCAAAAGAGATCTGAACATGCTCCACTGGCAAACAAACCCTTCTTCCATCACAACCCGAATACACGAAGAGAGAGAGAGAGAAGAGTTGGAATTTGGTAACAATGAAGAAGAAGAAGAAAGGTAGCTCTTCTTTCTTCCACTGGGAACGTGATTTGTGTCACACTAATAACTCTGTTTTTATTTAATGATGCAATTAGTATAATTCTAAACGTTTCTTTCTTTCTTTCTCGTTCAATCCCTCACCTCACTCGTCTGTTTCTTTCTCTCTTTACCTTTCTGTCTCTGTTATTTATTACGCCATGGAAATTATGTTCCAAATCCAAATGTTTAATCAATTAGTCCCTTTCTCTCGCTTTTTCTTTCTCTTCCCAACACGCACACTAACCTTTTTCGCTCACTCTATGGTTTGGCTGGGTACGGTACATGCCCTTAATTTCCAAGCATTACACACCTTAGTTATGATATTATTGGGGTTTGCATGCTTATTTTTAATTTATATTTTCAAATATTAGTTAACAAATTAAATATATAACTGTGTGTCTAAGAGTACATATTAAAATATAAATTTAATCATTTTTTATTAAATATTATAATATTCAATATTATTAATATATTAAATTTTATGATATTTATTATTTTAATAAAAATTTACTATAAATAAATTTTTATTGTACATTTTTAAGTACATATTATAAAAATATTTACTTTTTAAAATATTATATTTTTAAATAAACAAATTTTTAATGTGTCTCGAATCAATAGTCAGTTGAGTATTTAGTTTAAATGCATTATATCAAAATAAAATAATAATTCAAAATATACTCAATTTAATAATATTATGAAATGTCTAAATTAACATGAGTTTAAAAAAATTGTTGCGTAAAAAATACTCAAGTCTATATAACACACTGTAAAATTGTATATATGTCTTATTTGTTAGGATATGTTTAAGAATTGTGTTCTAAAATAAAAGAAGGAAAAGGACAAATATTTTATTTTTGTATTTTATAAATTATATAATATATATAAATGTAAATAAAAAATTAACAAATTAAATTTATACTATTTTTTAAAAATTTTATAAAATAATATTAAATTAATTAATTTTTATATTATAAATAAGAATTCTTTATCTAAAAGAAAAAAAAATCATAAAAATTATAGAAGAATCCATAATTTTTTAATAAATATTCATTAAACATATAAAAAGCTAATTTTTACAGTAAATTCATACAAATTGTTGAATCCAATCATAGAATATTGTTTGTTGACCTGAACAAGTTTATTTAAAAATTATGAAGATATATAAATTATAAATTGTGCTTGGGTGTGATTTCAGGAGAATGTTTCTCCTGTTCATCAAAGAGATTGGTTTTTGTGGGAGAGGAAGAAGATGAACTAGAGCCAGAGCGGAAAGAAATGCGGGAGAAAGAACGCAAAAGTTTAGACATAATAAAATACTTCTGGCTCATCACCTTCATTTGCTTTCGTAACAATATATCTGTTAATTTTTCATAACTTATTCGACTGGATCTGGTTATTTGTGAACTTTTTTTTTTTTATAAAGTTCTTTTACCATAGTCACCAGCTTCTTCTGTCAATGTTATTTCTAAAGCTGATTCAGAACATTATTCTGAAACAGATTCTATTTTAGCTATCAATCCAATCAACAATTGGAAAAATTCTTCCAAGCTTTATTATAATAGAGCTACTGCTCCTGATCTTATTTTAGAAGAAAAACAAGATTTTATTCAAAGTTTCAATTCTAATGATATTTATATTTGGAATATTGATAGATTATCTGAATATAATATCATTGCCAAACTCCAAAATATGTCGGTTGTTGCCATTGGCTATTTTACTAACCAAAATATGCCTGAAGACACCATTGTCTATATTCTTGTCGTTGGTTTTACTGGCCAACTCAAAGGTTTGTGGGATAATTATCTCACTGAAACTGATAGAAAAAACATCCTCTCTGCAGTTAAAATAGATGATAAGGGGAAAACTATTGTCAGTGACAATGAGTGTCTCCCTGATGCAGTGTATACATTGTTATACACAATATTCCAACATTTCCTGAGAGATCCTTCTCTTTGGAGAGAAAGATCTGGTGAACTTCTTTCAAACCTCAAATGTGATTCCTTAGAACATTTCAAATGGTATAAAGATACCTTCATGTCTAGGGTCCTAACCAGAGAAGATTGCAACCAAGCCTATTGGAAAGAAAAATATCTAGATGGGCTTCCCAAAGCTTTCAGAGATCTTATTAGAAGTAAACTCCGAAGTCGTTCTCTTACTGGAGAAATCAATTATAATAGTTATGATTATGGTCAGCTTACTGCCATTATTATTCATAATGGTATTAAAGCTTGCCAGAAGGATAAACTCCATAAGTAGCTTGCCAAAGAAAAAGCCTTGAGCAAAAAGGAATTAGGTCACAATATCTACCAAGGTACTATTATTCCTATCAGCAGGTCTATTGAATTTGCTGATAAATTTCCAGATAGAATCCTTGATAAAACCCAATTACAAAGGTTTTTAGGATGTCTTAATTATGTAGGTGATTTTGTTTGGTCTTCCATCTTGCTCCTCCAAAAAGAAGAAACATGCTCCTAAGAAAGAGGCTGTTGAACCTTACAAAAAGCCTTATAAACGCAAGTACAATAGAAAACCTACTCCCAAGAAACAAGGGGAAAATATCATCCCCACCAACAGAGTCAGGAAGATAAATTGCTTATATCTTCCTATCCCTCAAGCCTTTAAAAGTGTTGAAACTGATGCCTCAGACATAGGTTACGGGGGTATCCTTAAACAAAAAATAGAGTCACATGAGCATATCATTGCATATACTTCTAAACATTGGAATTCTGCACAACAGAATTATTCTACTGTTAAAAAAGAAGTTTTGGCAATCGTTTTATGTGTTTCAAAATTTCAATCTGATTTACTAAATCAAAAATTTCTTATTAGAGTAGACTGCAAGTCTGGTAAAGAAATTTTACAAAAAGATGTAAAAAATCTTGCCTCAAAACAAATCTTTGTAAGATGGCAAGCAATTTTAAGTGTTTTCGATTTTGATATCGAATATCTCAAAGGCACTTCAAACTCTCTTCCTGACTACCTTACCCGTGAATATTTACAGGATAAGTAAGATGCCTAGAAAGGCAACTACCCCTTCCAGGGGAGGAACAACCAGAGGTGGCAGAGTCAGGCTAGCCCTTACTTTAAATGGGACTGATTAGCTAGTCCTGCTACTAGCCCTGGGTAGAAAACAAGGCTACAGGAGATTCAAGATCAAGATCAGAATGAGGAAGAGTAATATGGTTAAGAGGCCTATCAATACCAAGGATCCAATTATCAGTTCAAAACTTAATCAACATTCCATCTTTCACAAGCCAGCCCAACCCTTGGAAAAACTGAGGCCAAATACTAATAAGATTTTTTTCATAAATGGGACTGATTAGGTACTTTCTTAATGCCTAAAAGTTGACCAGGGCTAAAATTATATTTATGACACAAAACTTGGGACCATAAATCAAAAGGGGAGGAGATCATTCTCCAACAAAGTTTCATCATGTATGCCTTATTTAGTAAATGCAAATCCTTAAAACCTAAGCCCCCCTCAATTTTAGGTTTACAAATATGATGCCAACCAATAAGATGACATTTACATTTACTCAAAGAACTCCAAATGAATTTTCTACATAAACTATCAATTTCATTACAGATGGAAAAGGGGAGAGTAAGAGACTGCATTACATAACCAGCTATACTCATAAGACAGGCTTGGGTCAGAGTAACCCTACCAGCTAGAGAAAGGAAATTTATCTTCCAAAGGACCAATTTTTTCCTAACCTTGCCTAAAAGAAATGAAACCTGGAGTCTAGAAGGTTTCTGGTGCAAAATAGGAATCCCTAAATACTTACCAAGTTGACTAATAGGCTTAATGGACAACTGGTCACTAACCATTTTAATAATAGCAGCATCAATATGTTGTTACCTTCTAAAGAGAAGTAATTTTGACTAGCAAGTGCACTAGTGTTATTGTAGCAAGTTATAAAATATTTAGAACTATGTTTGAGTCTCAAATATCGTCCTCAGGGAATAGAATTCTCAAATATCACTTTACAAGTTCACAATTATTTGAGCCTAAAGAAATTCAGTTGAAGTTTGGAAGCAAAATCAACAAATATTAAACTCGGAAAATAGAACAGAACAAAGATCATAAAAATATGTATTTAACAGATGTAGAAAACATAGTTAGGGACTTGTTTCACCAAAACTTCAGTGTTGATTCAATAAAGTGCTGAACTTGCAAGTATTTAGATGGAATGACAATCAGTTTCACAATATATTAATCAAAGGTCAATTCCTTAACTCAATAAATCTAACATTTAATTCAATCATTCTAATTCCTTATATCTGGTTCAATTAAATGTTGCATTAAGCATTAGAAACCAAAAGATTGCAAGATAAAGATGTCTCATCCCTAAGAAATCAATAATCTTGGTAATTGATTTAGATATGAGAAACAAGTTCAACTTCTATTAATAAAAGTTCCTCTGTAATTAGTTAATCAAATTTCCATTCAACAACTACTTGAAAAAGCATAATCAATTACTCAATCCAATCCAACACTCAAAGTTCAGATCCAAAATCCATTCAACACTTCCATTTCAGATCCACAATCCCTAACTACAAAGAGTTTAAGCAACCATTACAAAATGAAAAGAGAAAGAAAGAAAAGAAGAAGATGAATAAAGAAGCATATTTAAGCCAATTTTCAATCTGATTCCTCAAGATTTGAAGCTTGGTGTTCGTCCCCAATCTCTCTCTCAGACTCTCTCAACACCAAAAAATAAATGGAAAGTAAAAATGAATAAAAGATCCCAACTGATCTGAGCTAATTCGTATTTATAGAATTTTCACTTTTCTGGCGTGGTCACTATTTTTCACTATAGTAGCCACGCAGAGGCTTTTCTAATAATCTTCATGACTAGAACGATCACTATTCTTCATAAAAGTAAAAACTCAGAGGTTTGTGATCTGCGCGTGTTCACTTTCGTAAATAATAGGAGACAAACGCAACTTGCAGTGATGGAAGACTTTCTGGAACGATCACTTTTGTGAACAAAAGTGATAACGCGCACCTTACTATGCTTGAAAGCTCTTTGTAACGATCACTATCATTAGCAATAGTGATAACGCATAGGTCATTCTTCAATGTTAGGCTCTGAAATAATCACTTTTGCCAGGAAAAGTGATCACGCCCAGCTCTTGCT